TCGTGGGAACAGAAGGGGGTGAGCTGCCGCGAAAGTTGACATGGCAGCCGGCACGTGTGATCGGGTTCCAAGCCCCGCAAACTCTATTGCGACTCTTCGGCTCGTGCCGTCGCCTGAAAGTGGGGGTTGAACGGGGGAACGGTTTCGGCCCAGCTAAGAAGGTCCAGCAAGCGCTGTCATGCGGATATCGTGGCATTTTGCGCTCACGAATGCCTTGTCATTCCTTTCCGCTTCGCAGCAGTCATCGTCTTCACAAGATGCGCGGTTCGAAAGCAGAAGACCTCCCCCAGAGTCGGTTCAATAAATCCCGAAAGCTCAAAGGGTCACTGAGCTTCCCTTGATGCCCCTGTGAGGAACCCGCGAGCCCCCTGACCCCAGAACCCCTAAAGTTCTAAAGCCCGAAAGGATCTCAAAAAAAACGAGCAGACTGCAGCTTTCATCTCAGGCCAAACTTTGCCAACAAGCAAGTGTCCCGTGAGCATTCCAGTGCAGGGGCGCAGGTTTTGCAAGGGGACGGAGGTCCTTCCTGTGTAGGGTTTTGTTCAAGTCAGAAGCTGCTGGGATATGATCTGCCTTCTTCTTTCTGCCGTGAGTTAAAAGAAGAAGGCACCAAGGGACTTAGCCCAAGCCTTCGCTCAAGGATGCCACTGAGTGGACGCAGAGCTCCATGGCCAAGGGCTGTGCCGGAAACACTGCGCTGGGATCTGTGTGGCACGGCTGAAAGGTCACTTTAGTCTCTCCTTCTTCTACGTTCTAAGCTGAAGATGTAGAGGTTTCGAAGATGTACACAAAACCCACAAGCTAGGTTGCAGGATGAGGATGGCTGCAAGCACGATGAGCTTTTTCGATCATTGAGATTGTAGTGGTCGGTAGCAGCGCACGAGATACTTTACTTGACAACCCTTTGACTCCAACGATTCGATGTGTAACGCGAGCTTTGCTGCACACGGGCGTGCTTTGACACAAGTACCTGAAAACAGGGAAAACCGCCTCAGCTACTACTCTGAGGATTCTATTGCGCAGGCCCTGAAGCAAGAACCTTACAGAAAGCCATTGATGGCAAACTGTGGCTACACAGCATACCAATACCGCATACCCTGTGCGTAGCCGCAGCGCAGCAGATCGTCATTGATTTTGGGTAGTCGCAATTCACGACCTCATTGAAGTAAAGCATTCAAGCATCCTAACTTCTCTAGTGGTTGGAGTCTAGAATAGTCTAGCTTAGTTTAGCGTGCAGAATGGGAACGGCATCATGTGTGAGCAAGGAATCCGGCAATGTTTCTCAAGGGCGGCGTTTCGATTGGCTCTGAGATGGACTCTTGGGCAGCAGAAACACGCCGAAGCTTTACGTATAGCTCGGAGGTGTCCAGTCAGAAGGGCCAAGCAGAGTGTTGCAAGTTCATGCGACCATTTCGGGTTTGGTGGTGTCTTGTAAGGACACCCTAGCCCCGCTTGTCAGTACCTGTTTGGTCCACTCCCAACCCCTCCGAATCATGCCTCGAGCATGGTTTGGCGGAACGGGCTTGGTGTGACTGCAAGGACTGCCGATTCGTGCCGCTTCTGGCCAAGGCCGCACTAAACCCGCAAGAAGCCCCTGATTCGAGCAGCTGCGATGCGAAAGGTCCAGAGGCTAAGGATAAAAGTGATAAATGCTACGCGTTTTCCTGTTTGTCGACGTGGTTGGCTGACCCTCAACGCTTTCATTCATCACGGTGCGTGGAAGCTTCAACGAAGACTCCAGCATTTGAAGCCGTCAGCCCGCTCGCAGGAAGCGCCCATCGAGATCCAGACAAAGCGCAGCTTTCATGCCAGCCGCACCAGTTTCTGTGCTCTCTGCCAGACGTGATCAAGTCACTACCGGGCCCCCCCATGTGCATTTATGACAGGACGGCGACAAGTGGCCCGAGTGGTGGGAAGACATCGAGACCTGGGACGCCCAGCTTACTGCACCGAATGGAAGTTGTTGACAATGTTGGCTCTGTCAGGCCTTTTATTAGTGCAAGAGCATACACATGTCAGGACGAGCCCCCAACTACCTTTCCCAATCTGCACATCCGACATAGTCCCTTGGATATTCTGTACATAGGCACGCAACATAGCCAAATCACCTGGGAGTGTCTTCTGCACCTTCTCAGGGTCAATGTTTTAGGGTTTAGGGTTTAGGGTACCATATTAACTGCACGATTCTTGAAGCACAGACATGATCACATGAAGTCTAAGCTCCGTGTGCGCATCTGTGATGCAGTGCGACCAATCCCCTCAAATGCCAACACTCTCTTTTGATGCAGCAGTATGTGTGTGTCTTTCGATCGCTGCAGCGCCTTCGGAACAACTTCCGAAGGGTGCACTTCTTGTCGGCAGACTTCTTCTGAAGAACAGCGTCAATGCTCTTGATTCTTGATGTAGATGGAAAGCATTAGGGAGGCAAGCCCTCTTCTTCGCGTTCAGAATGTGAAGAAGGGGATTCCGGGACGTCTTAGCAAAAAAGGAGCCCTCTTACCAACTGATTCTGCTGTTTCACGCAGGTTTACACACCACGAAGACCTAAAGCCCCATCCATGGCCCGACGGCCCCATTTGGGGAGCCCCCCCTCAGGAGATGCAGTGCCCACCTGGCAGAGTCCTGCAGACGATTGACTTCTCCCAAGTGCCTCGGAGTCTGCAAACAAGAGTGTCCTCCGCGCAGCAGCGAAGTGTGTGGTGTGGGGGGATGTGGGAAGCTGCAGAGTGCCTTCGGCTCTGGCCCTTCAAAGCGTTCTATACCTTCGGGGGGGGGATTCGATTCTGAGAAACTCCTCATCTAGGAGTTTGTGACATCTCCCGGAGTAGAAGAGTCGGGAAGATTGGCAGGTGGGAGCTGCCTCGTCTCTCACTCCAGCCTCTTTCATGTTTCTGTCAGGGACCAGAATCCGAAGCCCTGAAACCCGACTAAGGAGCCCAGAAAGGAACCCCTCAAAAAACCTTATCTTACTTGCCAGGTCCCCTACAGTACCCAAGAGGTGGGTCATTTGTGTCGGTTATTGTGCAGATGTGGTCGTGCGTGGTTTGCCTTTGGCCTCTGGCCTGTTGTGGCTCAACCAGCGCAATGGTTACAGAATGAGAAAGGAACCGGACAACCCTCCGTACTCCTGCAGCCCCTCAAGCCCCCAGAGCCACAAAAGCCTTTCAGAAGCCCCCAAAGATGGCGTACTTGGTAGCCTCAGTGGTGCCCTTTGCCTTTTTTTCTTTTTTTTTTAATCTTTGTTTGTCATGATTTCCCCTGTAGAGTAACCAACCCAAAAAAGGGTGCCCTTATTAAAATATGGCTACTGGGCTACCACGCTTATAGGCGAACCAGAAGCTGGGCATCAAGTACGTCTGCGCCGTCGCTGCTGGTTTGGGCGCCTCTGCTACCTTTAGTATCCTGGGGCCGTGGTTTGGAGCTTCGGGGGCGACGGCAAATTCAGATGGGGGTTAGGGTGTTTAGGGTTTAGGGTTTAGGGCTGATGAATAGCAGGGGTTCAGCGCGAAATGCAGGGGGTGAACTGGCAGTTCTTGAAGGATTGGGGTTATGGTGAGATCCGTGCGAAGCACAGTCTCTCGAGCCTCGGTAGTTCTAGTTGCTCCTTACGCCGCATGTCTGAAACGCAGGTGCTCCAGTCCAGATCCTTTCACCTTGCAGAAGCTACCTTTACGCTTGTCTTGCGTGGTTGTTGCAGGAGGGAAACTGAAGGGATTTGGAAGACTTGGGGGCACCCCGGGGCTTTCCTCCGAACGCCTCCGAGCAAGGCCAGTGCTACCCAAGCTGGACAGATCAGCAAGACGCTCGCGAGTTCAAAGACACCGCAGCCCGGATATCTCGGGCCAAGGGCCCAAGGATTGCTTCTTCAGGCTTCGGGCTTAGGAGAAGCAGGCTTTGACCGAACCCTGCCTAGCTCAAGTTCCATGTGAATCTATGGATACTGTCTCGGTGAGGCATGAAGGTGGGTGAGGGCTTGAGGAATGAGCGTAATCATTGCTCCCAGGTCTATAAGAAGAAACAAGGAAAAACAATGGTGAAAAGCATGGCAAGCATCCCGGAAACGTGGGCGGAGACTGCAGACGCACACAAGAGTCATGTCGGCTTCGTCGTGCGTCGCTGCGACATTGTATGCCTGCCTCAAGACCTCTTGGTTGAAGGCTGTAGGGGGGTTAAGAAGCCCGATAGAGAGAGGAAGCTTGCAGGGACTGCAACTGCCCGGTTTCCGAAGCGTTTATGAGCCCTCTTTCCCTCAGAGATCGAGAGCCCAGGCGCCCAAGAAAACCAGGCGAGCGAAACCCGAAGTCGCCAACCGCCCGCCCTTAGCCCTACACCCTAGACCCTAGACCCTAAACCCTAAAACCCTAAACCCGCCCTTCGCCAAGGCACTCTCGAAGAGCGTGCTGGGTCGCCTTGGCATGGTCTGTCCGGGGCACGACCTGCTCAGTGGCCTCCACTTCGAGCCGCCGGACCGAGACTGAGGGTGTTTTCCCTTTGTTCTGAGGGGCTTTCTGACCCTAAACCCTAAACCCTAAACCCTAAGCCCTAAACCCTAAACCCTAAACCCTAAACCCTAAACCCTAAACCTAAGGAGTCTAAAGTTTGCGTGGGGGCGTAGGGAGCGCATAGGGCGCGTGGGCATGTTCTTTCTTTGGGGGGGTTATATCTTGAAGGTCTGGCATCCCAACAAACTGCTTGCGAACACAACATGATCACGACTAAATCGGTGCCCTGCGTAAATCAGTACTACACGTTTTGAGAGGACCAGGCGTAGCAGCAGGAGCAGCAGCAGAGGCAGCAGAAGCCTCTGCATCTGTTGCTGCCGTTCCTTGCATCCTAGGTGGCTGAACCTAACGCTCAACATGCATTTGGACTGTGCCTGCAGATGGCATGCACTGAACCAGGTCCCTCAGACATGGGCATCAACCGAGGCAGCTATACTTCCTAGAGGCAAGTTTCTAAGTCTCTCATTCTCCAGAACATGCTTGTGCCCGAGGTACTCCATGGGTGGTCTGTGGGCACGCTTCAAATTCACCTGCTGCAAGGAATCAGGCGCTGCTTTCTCCGGGACTCTGGGGTTTTTGCGTCGGAAGGCCCAGGAGTCGAGTAGGACCCCTTCTGACTTGGTGACACGCACCCTCATCCCTTGTGATGTTCTTGATTTCCCAGCCCTTTTTGAGAAGGGCGGCCCCAAGGCTTCCTTTGGCTTCTCACGCAACCTTCTCCATGATGAGAAACGGATATGCCAAGCAAGCAACTACAGCCACTTCCTTTCCCGCGGCTCACTTTTATCGTGTTCTCTTGCGGAAATCGTGGGCTGTGGGTGTTCAGGCGCTCCCGTGGCCACGGTGTCGCGGGGTCCTGATTACCACTCTGTGGATCGTGCCGCGGCTGTGAGGTGACCATAGGGGGTTTATAGGGCTAGAATGGGCCAGTGCGCGTTCGAGGGGCCTATCGGCCTCACTCTCTGGGGGCAATTCGGGTAAGAGCTGTCAACGCAGCCCCTCAGTACAGCATCACTCGGCTGAGGCTACGAAGGGTCCTACTGCCCCGAGAAGGTGGGAGCAACGGGCCGCATCGACTACAGGCAGCAGGCCGGGCGGCAGTTTCTCGGGGGATTTTTCCGGAGGGGGCTGAGGGACACAACAGACCGTTTGCAGCATCGAGAAGACAATCTGGGTAGTCTTTATAGTGTGTCTATAGAGGCTTGCATATTGCACTCGGAGACTTTCGGTTTGAGCAGCATGGCATTCTAGCTTGAGTTGCAAAGCTAGCCCGTGCAAGAATGGCAAGTCTTAGTCATGTTCTTGTTAACGGCCTGGGCATGTCTTGATCTCAATATGTTTCATGCTCTAACCCTACAACCCTACACGCTTAGCCAACTGGAGGAAGCCTCAACTCTTAGGTTCGGGCCGATTTTGGACTTGCCGGGGGACATTCGGCCCGGAGCTATACACATGTGCATGCACGCATGCATGCAAGCGTGCACACATATACTCATGCATACGTATATGCATACATGCATACGTACTCGTGCCTTCTTACATACCTGCATACGAAAACTCTCTCTCTCTCTCTCTCTCTCTCTCTCTCTCTCTCTTTCCCTCTATATATATATGTGTGTGTGTATGTATGTATGTATGTATGTATGTATGTATGTATCGCATTGTGCCAGCCATTCTGTCTGCACGCCGTTCGGAATACACCATGCATAGGTCATGCGCGTGCAGATTATATTTCCCACCCGCGACAGGCTCTGAAGCCAGACACAGCACCAGCGAAGCTTTCCGGCAGCAGAGCTTGAAAATTGGCGGATGCCCTGAGATTCCGGAAAGGGAGTGCATGTGCCAGCCTAGTTCTTTGCTCTTCCATGTCCAGGTCATGATGTCATGCAAAGCACCAGGCCTCCCTAAACCCTTCGCCCCCGCTTCACGAAAAGGTATCATAACCATCTGGTTTATGGCTTTAAGGACTCAGGTATTTAGCGCAAAGAGCCTGAGTGCGAGCAGAATCAGAAGTTTCAACAACAGCGGACGAAAGTGCAATGCCAAACCTAATAGCTGCTATGCACTGCGGTTGTAACTCCAAGTAGGCTCAGGTTTGCAGTCTGCGTTTTGGATTCTCTTCCAAGCTAGAGAACCTTTGACCCTCCCTGGGGTTTGCTAGAACTATACTGCACTTTTGTCACGTGTGGTGCTGCATGCTGTCAAACCTAGCCACGAAGCCCAACAGTGTAGGTGCATCAGCAAAGAAGCCCCAATCCTGCCCACGGAATGCGGGGTAGAGGATCGGCGTCTGTCATGAGCCTTGTAAGATATCGTTTGGTGCAGTGCTTTGCTACAGGCTGACCTTCAGCGAAGACAGCGGCAAGTGGTGCATTGACGGTCGCTAGGGTCAAATTTCCTTCAGATACCAAAATGGGATTGACGGTCGAGTAGGGGAATTTCGGGCAAAATCGATGTGCAGTTGGGCCCGCGAATCAGGAACCTACTAGCAGGTACAAGAGCTTGTTCAAAGCGAGTGTGATACAGTTGTTGTTTTCGAGTTTCCCTTATTTTTGTAACCGAGGTGATTACAAGAGATATCTTTGTTACTGCTGCCTCACCTTGTTACAGGAAAGAGCCATCATGACTTGGGACCAGTATTCTTGGGTTGGGCAGGACTGTCGAGCATCATTAGTAAGACCGTGTTGGGACACTGGGAGATTGAAACTGTTTTGGTTACCAAATCGTCACGGAGCTTCCAACGCATGGGGCAAAACCGGGCCCGAAGACATCATACGCAAATCCTTGCATGCCAGCCGTACAGTCCAGCTAGATACTCCATATTTGAGTTTTTGTTTCAACAGCCACTCCATTTCCGACTCAACTTTCTGGAGGGCTGCATCGCTTTCCGGCTCAGCTGTGTAAATGCTGGTGATGGCGGAAGTCACTGTCTTCCCTAAGGTGCTCCTGCTGCTCCCTGTCATGCTTGTAGCGCATGTACTGACACATATGCACATACATACATACATACATAAATACATACATACAAGCGGACGTGCGCCGCCATACAGATATAGGTATGTAGCACACATGCACGTGCAGGCAGAAGGATCTAGAGATTTCCTGAAATGGTGCCGACGATGGCTTCACAAAGCTCTCGTGCTCTGCTATACTAGCTATACTTCTGACATGTCCGCGAGTCAGAGATTTGTTCGCTTAGGCGAGTGCTCGGCAGAGGGGGATGACTTCGAGCCCATCGGCCCTTCGGCATTGCCACCAGCATGTCTGCATCACAGGGACGGGTCTGAACCCCCAAACCAACAGCTCATGATTTTTAACGCAATGCTGGTACTCGTCTCTTGCGCCCTACCCGGGTATGCGTTGTTCCATTCTTCCGCCCGAAGATCCTCACATGAGTTCATCCGAGCCCGAAGTTCTCTTCTCAAGCCCCAAGTAATTCGAAGCCCAACCCCCCCTAACCCCCCAGTCCTCCTAACAAAGTTCACCAAGGACTTCGCATCGGCAAGCTGGAAGCCACCGCTGTGACCGACTTCGACGGAAAGTTCGAGGAGGGTCTCGGCATGTGTGGCATTCTTGTTGCCTTCTTGTTGCATTCGACCTATGTGGTGCTCCTTGCTTCTATGTAGGGTACACATGGGCACTTGAAATCCTCTTCCAACTCATCTTGTGGACCTGCAGGCAAAGGGCGTCAGCCCCGCTTCCTCTGGGTCCCCGCTGGGCGCTTCGGCCCCACAGGCCTGCTCCTTCGAGATCTCTGGTGCCCCGTTTGGGTGAAAGGGCATGGGGCTCAGCGCACCTTGTCCATGACGATTCGGATGTCATATTGTTGGGCTCATACCAGGGGATGGCCCAGGAATCCTACAGACAGGCGACATGGATGGGGCTGTGGGTTACAGGCTTGTTCTGTCGTGTTCAAGCTGTCAATGCTCGCGTCTGTTGTGGCCGTGTTTTTTCGCAACTCGCCGTATGTCGAGATAGCCAGCGAGGTTGGGTTTATGTTTAGACTTGATCCCGCACACTCGTTTCAGACTTGCAATTGTGAAACTTGAATATGGCTCATGCCGTAGTTCGCGACAAGGGTAGTCTAGATAAGGAAGTTGGGTCAGGGCTTTGGTTTCGGGTTGTTACATTTATTGTTGGGATGTTTGCTAGGGGCTTTAGGGCGAAGGGGGTTGCAGGATATGTTGGGAACATCTTTGTTGAGGTCTTTAGGGGGGCAGGGTATAGGACATGTGGTCCGTGAACTGGTGCATGACGTTACCTAGCTACCGAAGAGGGGTCATGTTGTCTTTTTGAGACTGGAATTCGAGTTCTCTTTGTGAGTCTTGCTTCGCACGCCACTTGGATCTCTTGAACTTGTGAGCTCTTGCGTACTCTAGCTGGTGTCGCGCCAGTTTCTCAGTGCTTTGCTTGGGCCCTGCAAACTTGTTGGAACTGCCTTAACCCAGTCCTCGGAGAGGCGACGAAGCCGCGTCCACCGCGACGACCCAAGGCCACATCATTCTGGCTGGTTTCTAGCTTCATGACATGAGCTCTGAGCAACAGGGACCGTGAATGCTTGTGTTTGGATCACAGGCACGGCTAGCGTCAGATCACCTAGCATCCCCGATCCCAACCACAGTGAGCCTAGAACCCACCTGCAACTTACCTAGGTGCCGTAGCCAAAAAGAGAAGGGGTTCGGTTCAGGGTCTCTCCTCTCTCTCGCTCTCTCCCTCTCTCTCTCTCTCTCTCTCTCTCTCTCTCTTGCTCTCTGTCTTTGTCACATCGCTTGCCTCGCAGGAAGAAGCACGTAGAAGACCTGAGCAAGTCCACGAAAGTTCCATGACAACGAAGAAACCCACACTTCCCATCCATCAAGATCACCTACCCTGCAGCAAGAACAGACACCATGCCTGCGCCCCCTTGACCTGGACGTCCCCGACAACTACCGCCCTGCATCCATGTTACGGCAAAGCATCCCTTCCGTCAAAGAAGCTATCCTGACATCGGAAGACGACAACGTGAGGCAGCTCCTGCCGTCCGCCACCGAAAAAAGCATCCTGATACCGTAAGATGACATCGTAAGTCAGTTCCATCCGTCCGTCCGAGCAAACCAAGCCCTTCTGCCACCGAGCATCCGAAGCACACCAGCGACTTCTACGACTATGGCTATGACGTCTACGACTACAACGACTTCGACCGGAACTACCAATGGCCCTTCTTCTCCCGAAAAACGATCGCGGACATCCAGAAACGAAACAGCTTTCCATGCTATGGAGCCCTTGTCGGGTTCTGCCGGTATCGTTCCTTGGAGGGTCCCTGCTGGTCAGGTTCTGCCTTTTCTGCCTCGCTCCCCCAGTCCATGTTAGGCTGTTCTCGCTCGCAGGCGCCGAAGAAGCCCAAGCTGGAGAAGTTCGAGCCACTTGGAAAGAGGAGCAGAGACTATAGGGGACTCCTGTTCAGAAGGCCAAAGGTAAGAGGGAGGAATCACACAAAAGGCAGTGCAGAGTGTAGGCAAGATTGGGCATAACTTCGAAACCTCTGCCCCAAAGCCATACGACGAAAGGGTCCCTCAAGCCTCAAAACGCAACCCCTTGCGGTCCAGGGCGGAGATGCCGAAGTATTCCGACAAGTGCGCCACTTGTCGAAAGCAGATGCGTCTATGGTCCTAAGTTAAAATGGGTCTCCGAAAACACCGCCGTTGAGATGGGTAGCTGCTTTTAGACAGCCCAACTCTGCTGGTTCCGGCTGCTTTTGAGCACAGGTGCCATTTGTGAGCCAAAAGCTGCTCATCATCTGCTCTGCTTTCACTGTGTCTCGGGGATACCTGCCCACCACCCCAGAATCATGCCAGCATCGGGCAACGCACGTCTCCCATCCCTCATCTTGCTGCTTGTCATTCTTGCCCCAACCCCTTCTGCGCTGTGGCCTCCAAGGTGTCATTATGGTCCTTCTTCTCTTTGTCGTCTGTCATCTTACACAGCATATGTCTAGGCCTCATGGAGTCCAAGCCTTTCCTTCCCCAGTTCCTGAGCTCTCTGAGAGCCTCTGTGTCTCATTCGGGCTACGCCCAAGAAGTTCCTCTCCCCCCAAGGTTTCTTCACAAGCCAAAGCTTGTCTAGCTGTGCATCTCCAGGGGGCAGTGGGGGGGCTTTCAAGCCTCAAATTGAAGAAGTTTGTGTTTTTGTTGGGCTTATGGAACTTCATTTCTGAAAGGATCCCCCGGCTTCAACCGGGCTTCTACCACAGCCCCCCTGCAAGCTTTCGCCAAGGTTGGTTACGGAGACCTTTGGAAGAAGCTGCAGGAGATCCCCCCCCCCCCCCCCGAGTTTTCGGTTTTGTTGAGGAATTTGGGATGCTTGGGATTGATGATGTTTGGGTTTTCCCTTGTGCAGGGAAAAGAAATGACTGCTCTCGGCTTGCTGCAGGCATGCCTCCTTGTCACAACTGACCTCAACTCCAGGCATAACCGGGCTCCGAGTACAGCCTGGGACCAAACATGAACGAGACTTTCTCTGCCATTTGTGGGAACCCGCTTTGAGTTTCCCAAGTGTTCGGTTCCCTCAAAGAGGAATGAAGAGCATTGCTTCTTCCATCGCCGTTTCATGGCTTCCACGGGTGCTTTCTGCAGCTGGTGATGGTGTAGCTGCTGTGTAGCTCAGCTTTCGTCCCCTAACCATGTTAACCCTTTATAGCAACCAAAACCCTAACGGGGCCCTCTTAGCCCCCCAAGGTCCCCCCCGATTTTGTGAGCACCTTGAGCTCCGAGCCTGTCAGGAGACCAAGCTAGACATCACTGGGGAAGAGATTCCGGAGACTGACGAGACTCTCGATTGCAAGACGCGCCAGATTTCAGGCAACCTGCTCCTGCGCGAAAACCCGCCTGTCTAGAATCATCTCGACTCTTCTTGGCATCTTCATCCTCAGTCGGGTTGGGGTCCCTTGATGCTGGATGCATTTGAGGAGGTCCGCCTTGATTCCTTAGTGCCTTTTCTGTTGGGTTCTGAGCCTGCAGAGCCTCAGTGTCCGATTAAGCCCTTCCATCCTAAGGGTGGAGACCGAAGAGGAGGCTGCAGCCGGCTTCAAGGCGCCCACTTTTTTTGCTTCCGTTTATCGCAGGGTTCGCGGAGGGCTTGCAGGTGCCATTTTGGCACAGGAACTAACTTTCCCAAAAATGGCAGCTGCTGCGGCGAGCCCTGCCATTTGGACGGTAGGGTTTGGGCATGTGCGGGGCGCAAAGGCTTCATGTCCATGTTACCGTGCCCGCAGACGAATTTGAAGGTACTTTGGGTTGAATTGCGAGGTGAGGCTTCAGGCTCGAAGGTTTAGTTTGGGGTGTGCTGTTTGAGGACTCGAAACCTTTGGTACAGCTAAGACTTAGAGTCCAATTAAAGGGCTGCCCGGCATTCACGAACGCCGCTCAAGCATCAAAACTCTTGAACGTGCATATTTTCCAGAGGAGCTTCAAAGACTGCATTGTTGGAGTTGCTCATGGGTGCCATTTCTTTATTTGAGCCGCCTCGTGCTTGCCAGACTCCATCTGGCGCTGGGAACATCTTTGGAACCGTACCGTAGTGAAGCGTGGACAACTTCCTGCGGCAGCGCTAGGAGTCTCATCCTTGTGATCTTGCTGCTGCGAGAACCGGAATTCGGAGAACCTGGATGGCAGTTAAACGGAGCCAAATCTCAAGATTCCTTGGCGCCTAGAGGGATAGGAAGACTTGGACGGTTCCGGGACAAGTTTGGACGGTTCTCACGTCTTTGGGTTAGGGTTTAGGGTTTAGGGTTTAGGGTTTAGGGTTTAGGGTTTAGGGTTTAGGGTTTAGGGTTTAGGGGGGGATCATTGCAAAGAAAGATCTTGGACAAGTCTGCAAGGGCCCTCTGCTTTCCCAGCCACTCCCCTGCCCACCCACGGTGGCATCCAGCATTTGTTAAAAGTGAAGAGAACTGCATCATGCAGGCTTCAAACCCTAAACCCTAATCCCTAAACCCTAAACCCCAAACCCTAAACCCTAAACCCTAAACCCTTCAAGACTCGAGGCATGGTCATCGCAAGGCTAGAGGTCCAGTTGGCGGGTCATCGCGCGCCCCCTTGGGATGTGAGCTGGGCCCTCTGAGGCAAATGGGCGGGAGGCGATGGCAAGCCGATCCCAACTGGCATGGGCTATGCAACTCGGCCGGCATCTGGGGGCCGAGGCTCCTAGACCTCAGCTGATCTCCGGACCTTGCGAATCATGTTGAGCGGTCCACTAAGTTGAGAACCGCTCCATTGCAGGATGCCTTCATGGCCGTTCGGACTGTTTTACAGAGGAGGTTTCAGGTCGCTCAAGCGAAAAAATGCAGGACCCAAGAAACGATTGCAAGACACCTGGCCAGCTGTGAAATGAGAGCCATCAGATGAGGTACGAGGTTTTGCAGGCTTCACGAGAAGCCTACCCCCGCCGAAATGGAGGGAGGGCCCAAACAGTCCAACTCTTTCTGCTTCTTCGATGTTGCATCTCATGATTCCGCCCCACCAAGCATCATCCGGAGTAGCTGTCAAGAACAAGCCGTTTGGCCCGGAACCCTAAGCACTGATCCGGCATTTGCTAAGAACGAACTGGAGGGTGCGAGCCTCAGCTTTGCACATCGTGATCTGCAGCTCATGAGCAGGGGTAGTGGATGCATATTCCATTTTAGGCTTTCATGTGCTTGACGAGGTTGTTCAGGAACTCGCATGGGGAGCTTTTCAGGGTTCTGAAGAGTAGTTTCTGCACTCCTGACTGCGAAGTGTGAGAAAGTTGAGATCATGCCCTCGGGATCAAACCCACTTTGAGATTCCATACATGTGGCAGGTTGCTTCGACCGAGCCGGAAAGACCTCCCACAAGAGCTTCGTCTTGCAATGCAAAGAGAAGACCAATGCAAGGGGGAGAATATGAGGGCTTTGGTGGTCCGAGGAAGGAGGCCTCCTCTAGCAGAGCTAGAGGCCTCCTCTGGTAGAGCTAGTTGCTCTTACTTGTACACTGGAAATTGTTGGCCGTGCGCGAGCTTCGACAAGAATGGGGATGTTCGCTGAGACGGTTCATTGTTGAGAAGCCAGAGGTTTAGAGAGTGTAGATACTTGTCCTGCATGTGTCGTGCAACTATGTTTGCTGGCAAGCCCCTTGATGCGTTTATGGCAAAATGATTTTAGATTGCCTTGTGCAGGAGATGTTTCTCCACTAGTCTGTGCATTCCTGGCTCTTCCCGGCTTTGGCTCTCCATTCTGGAACCTTTACATCGAAGGAGTCTCTAAGGACAAGGGCGCCATAGGTCTGCCATAGCTATGACATGATAATTCAGAATTACAAGAGCTGCGAGAGTTCACAAGACAAAGACTCGCATCTTGAACCCAAGCCCAAGAAACCGCAACCCCTGAAAGCCCCCTACGTTCCTAAAACGAGCGCAGAAAGCTTCCGCAGCGCTCAGGATTGCCAAGGCTGCGGGAGGGAAGGAAGTGGCTGGAAGGAGGTATGGTGAGTCAGCATCCTAAGTTATTTTAAAGGGATGATGGTGAAAAAAGGTTGTGGTCACGATGACTCGGGGCAAATGCGCTTTGGAATGATTCTGCGTTGCCTTCTAAGAACGAAGTTGTTTCACTGCCTCGTCCCTCTTTGCAGGAGCTTGGGGCTTGGGGAGATTCATGCAGGGTTTAGGGTTTAGGGTTTAGGGTTTAGGGTTTTACGGTTTAGGCGTTATGGGTTTAGGGTTTAGAGGAGTTGTGGGAGTCGGACCCGGCATGTAGAATGGGTCACGTGTGCAGCGACCTTGAGCTTGAGCTTAGACATGCCTAACCAGCATGCCTCTGCCTCTGCCGTGTAAAAGGTTTAGGGTTTAGGGTTTTGGGTTTTGGGTTTAGTGTTTAGGGGTGTAAAAGCCCCGTGCTCGGTTTTGCAGTTGATTTGTTCGTCGTGGCGTCAGCAGTGCAACTTGTCAAAAAATGCGACTTACCACCGATCGTAGCATGCATGTGCCGACTTGTAAATAATAGTAGCTACGTGGATACCCTTTCAACAGAACACAGCCTTGCCCACTTGCTGCTTGTCTGGGCAAGCAACTCCCGCCAGACTAGACCATGATGATGTGTGCCTTGATCTTCCAGTCATGAATCCGACATTGAGAGAGGAGAAACTTGTTGCAACATTACAAGTAAACTCGGCCACCCCACCGTAAGAACATGCCGCGACTACACGAGAGGATCCCGTCCCTGACCCTCGACCCACCGTACTTCCTGACTCGCCATGCATCTGCCGACCCCAAAACCACATCTGAACCTGATCTTCTTGAAATACCCAGCCGCAAACCAAAGAGAGAAACAAGAGCTGCTCTACAAAAACCAGCCCCAAAAGTCCAGCTCTCCCCCCAACAAAATGCCAGCAAATGGACCTCGCGGACCTGGTCATTCAGAAGATGGGTGTCAGCTTTGCCCTGGCATCCACGACACTTGGGGGCTCTCGGAGAGAGCGGGTTTTTTGCGTCGTGTCGAAACGCAGAAAACAAGCAGGGCTCAAGAGTGACTTGGGGTTCTGAAGAAGTTAAGAAGTTTCTTCGAGGGCCTCTGTGTGGCTGTTTTTCGCGAGACTCAACAGTGGTGTTCTGTGGCTGTAGAGCTTTAGAAAGGCGACTTGGGGTCGTTTTCGGGGAGCATTTTGGGGGCATCAGCATTGAGCATGTTTGCGAAAGGCGTACCTTTGATTCTGCGGGCGGCCCCGGTGCCTGAAATCCCAATCTCCACACACCTCTCCTCCAGACCTATCTAGCCAGCTTTAAGACCGACAGGTGTTATGGGTAGATGCCAAGAAGAGCTCGAAAGCCCTGAACCGCGTGATGTGAGGATCTGCAGCGCGCTTCCGGACACAATGGCAGCACCATTCGGCATGGGATTCAGCCGCGGCCAAAGCATTGCCCATGAAATCCTGTTGGGCTGAGAGAGCACGTGGGCTTTCTCTTATTGGGTAGGAGTGCTGGTAAAGCGTAGACTCCACGCCTGCTTAGCAGTCTGCAGCTTCTTGATATGGGGAAGGAAGATTTGTAAGAGAGAGAGACACAGAGAGAGAGAGAGAGAGAGAGAGAGAGCAGGGGGCCCCTTTCTACTTCGCTTATCAGTCTGTTGCCGGGACGTGGTGGCGAGTCGGCAACTGGATCGATCCACCCTTTTAGTTAAGGCATGTTTTTGCCCCTGACTCGGCTCCTTTTCAGTGTTAGCTTTGGGACCCGTCAAAGTCGACACGAGAGTCCCGCCTTTCACCAGCAGACAGAGCGGCGGGCCAGAGCGGCCAGGGGCTCCTCTCACAGGAAATCCTCTTCGCTGGGTAGAAGGAGAGAGAGAGAGAGAGAGAGAGAGAGAGAGAGACTCGGACTACGCGTGCAGGAGAGAGAGAGAGAGAGAGAGCGAGAGAGCGAGAGCGAGAGAGAGTTCTCTGCTCGTCCGAGGCTTTTCACCCGGGCTGATCTGCGACAAAGGGACAGAAGTCAGCCAAGCCGCCCTCGCCTTCGGAAAGGCGTGGGCTCCCCGCTTTTTCCCTCCAAGGGCTCGGGCCGTTTCGGGTCTCTCTGGAAGCTCTTTTGGGGGCCTCCCCAGGACCTTGTGGGAACTGGGGATTTTTAGGAACAAGTCGCCCACGGGCCAGGAAGTATCTGCCAAGACTTCCATACTCAAACAGTCCGCAGCATCCCTGAAGCATGCCCCTGCAGGCCTTCCTCTTGTGAATCAGTAAGGGTTTAGGGTTTAGGGTTTAAGGTGAAGATCTCTTAGCTTCCAGCTGTCTGTGACGATGCGTGGCCCTGGCCGGGCCTCCTTTGCCTGCGGTTGCATGTTAGGTTCCTGAAAGGTCAGCCAGAGTTCGTTATCAGTCAGCAATTCTGGGAGTCTGATTCTCCAATTTCCAAGAAGTGTATAGAGATTCAAGCTTCAACCTGGATCCAGCAATGACTGGAGCGAGGGATGTGTCTTCGAACTGCCGCTACCGAAGGTACTTGTAGCATATCCATTCGAGCCATAGCCCATGCAGATAGCAAGTGTTTAGGGTTTAGGGTGTTCCTGGTCAAGTCCCCTCCACCAAATTGTAACCCTCCCCACTACTCGCCGGCCTCCTAACGAAAACCCCCCCCATTGCATTTCATGTTGCAATCGAAGTGGGGAAGATGTTGTGAGTAGAAGCCCGAAATTCCAAAGAGAACCCAACTTGTCTGACAAAGACCCTTGAAGGAAGTCGGGGTGCACGACCATGTCAGGAAGATGAGGACCGCCTGGGGTGAAAACTGTTCTGTTCAGGGTTTAGGGTTTAGGGTTCAGGGTTCAGGGTTTAGGGTTTAGGGTTTGGGGGGGGGGGGGGGGGGGGGGGGGGGGGGGGGGTTTAGGGTTTGGGGTGATAGGTTTAGGGTTTTTTTTTTAGGGCTTAGGGTAGGGTTCAGGCTTCAGGGTTAGGGTTTACCGTTTAGGGTTTAGGGTTTAGGGGGGGGGGGGGGGGGGGGGGGGGGGGCGGGGGGACACGCGAAACCTTGCGGACAAGCTGCTTGTCCTGTGCTTTTCTAAAAGGCTCTTTTATTCTTCGTCCGACATGTTGATGTTTGATGCTGTTTCTGATGTTTGCAGTACATGTCAAGAAGAAGGCCATCAATGTGTAATACCATCAGCTTACTTCTCCAACAGCTGAACTTCAAACTTTCTGAGCTTCCTCATTCAGTAGGAATAATAAAGTTTAGCCTTTTTTCAGGTATGTACAACCAGGTCGCAAAAACGGAAGCCGAAGGCTAGCAAGGAGAGAAGTGGCTGGCATGCTGGCCGCCAAGCCGTCTTCCTCGTCTACTCCTGGCTCTCTTGTTTAGGGTTTAGGGTTTAGGGTTCAGGGTTTAGGGTTTAGGGTTGCCTAATGTGTGACATTGCAAGAGAGTGGAACTCTCGGCGAACCCGATGTGTTGTCAGGCAAAACCCTTCCAAACGTCGTTCTTGAGCAGACATCTCGAGAGGGTGAACGGCCAGTCAGCCTGAGAAGGCCTAGCCTCCCAAAGATGTGGATTCGTCAGTGATCATGTCATTCAATGTCGTAGAATCCGAATCCTTGTATCTGTGTCGCCCACAACCGAAAACTCTACTGGAAACTACTGACGGGATTTGTTGGACGGCTTCAAGACTTGATAGCCGCATCAACGCAGCAGCTTTTTCGGTCTTGCATATTTCTTGCTTCTGAACCGAAGCTACACTGAGAACTTGAAGTTGACCGCTGATAGCCGAAACAGAAGCATGAACCACCGCTTTGAATTCAAGCTGGAAGCTGTGCCCGAAGCCAAAAACCCATGCTGCACTTCAATCGCTATAGAAGAGCGAGCCTTTTAAGAAGAAGAAGTAGTAGTAGTAGTAGTAGTAGTAGTAGTAGTAGTAGTAGTAGTAGTAGGTAGTAGCAGTAGCAGTAGCAGTAGCAGTAGCAGTAGCAGTAGTAGTAGTAGTAGTAGTAGTAGTAGTAGTAGTAGTAGTAGTAGTAGTAGTAGTAGTAGTAGTAGTAGTAGTAGTCAGAATGGTGATGACCATGGAGTTGCACTGTTCCGGCTTTCGGGACCAAGGCGGTTCTTCCCACACTTGGCCCTGGCAGTAAGCGGGGGGTTCAGGCATTGGTAGCATTCAAGGGGGTCTGGCATTTATGTCTCGGCTTTCTCTTCTGAGTTACTTCTCGGTACATCCGGCTTTCTGTGAAGATCTCAACCCCTGGCCATCTGCAGGGACGACTCCATGGGCAAAGATTGCACGCCCAACCAAGCAAACTTCGCACGGATCTTCTGCAACTGGCCTGGACTTTTGGTTACTACTGTGGTGCCAAATCACACAGTGCTCGGCACGTCATTCGCCTTCCTATTCTAGCTATTGGCTTCTACGATGATGCAATCGCGCTGGCTTATGTTGCACGGGTTGTGTCTTGTTGGGTTGAAGGTTCAGGCTGTCGCTTGGAGCACTGTAGGAGTGCGGGGCTTCACTGACACTTCATGGTCTAGTTTCGGCTGTTGAAACTTCTCCCCCAATCTTGTAGCGATGGCTACAGCCAAGGCCACCGAGCTGCTTGTGAACCTGCCTTGTTGCTGTTAAATTTTGTCGTCTCCTTTTCCTGACAGAACTGCTGGTGCAGCCGCGGCCTTTCCGTTTCAAGCTGACATTCTCTGTGCAGCTTAAGAGGATGTACCAAACAGGAAGAATTCTTCCCAAACATGAGCGCACCTTTCCTACAGCACGCCGGCCATTCGAGGGAGTCGAGAGTTGAATACATCCCCCGGCTTCATCGGCGTGATTGCAGCATGGGGGGGGGGGGGGGGGGGCATGTACCTGGCCATCCAAGGTGACGTGCACTGCGTGCGGGATGCTGTTGTTCGAGGAGCGGTTGCTGAAAAGTCCGGGGGCGGATTCTACCAGGGACTACGGGACTACCAGGGAAGGTGGGAGCATGAGCATAGTGCTGGATATCGCGAGGGGGAGGGGGGGGAGAGTCGCCATCTCTGCAGGGGACCGAACCATCCTCCGAAACCTGGAAAGAGCCACAGCCGATGGCTTAGCAGCATGGGGAGCATGGCCGCGTGTTTTGGTTTGTGCAGGATGTAGGGTGGCATACTGTCCAGGAGCATTATTGGAGGACCCAACCCAACCTTTTAGCAAGACTGTGCAACCTTCCGAATGCCTGCTCTGCTGGTTTTCTAGGCTGTGGTTCGCACCCAGTTGTGTACGTGTCCAAGCTGTGACTCTTCATGGATTTGCTCAAGGTACAGTGGGAACGTTTGCTTTGTCCGCAGAAGCATTCAGCCAAAGCCCTGAAACCAAGCCGCGAAGATCCGCGAATCTCATCCCTGTAAACCTGACCCTTGGACCGACATGGACTGAGGGCATCACCAACAGAAACATGGAGAAGTTGGCAGCACCCTGTCATGGAAAGACATGCGTGAAAAGGGAAGGAGAGCTCAACGGTTTAGGCTTGTCAACATGATTGCGAGGCTATCATCGGTCGCATTCGGAGTACATGAAAGGGATTGCTACCTGTTTCCTTCTTTTTTTTTTGGGGGGGGGGGGGGGGGGGGATGAGTTTCAGGTCCCAGGCCCAGATAAAGAAGTAGCCTATAAAGCTAGACGCCGGTGGTAAGCAGCAGTCATATCTTCAGCAACCAGAGTACGCATGACATGTTCTGTGGCTCGTGAACGTGAAACAGTGTACAGTGGCTTGCCCCTCCGTGGTAGTTAGTTGGTTTGTGGGGAGGAACCTTTTTTTTAGGAAACCGGCTGACAAGTCGCTTGAGGCATTGGAAGGATTTGGAAGGATCGTGCTGCTGCTGTTGTTGCCCTGGATTTCCAGAGTTCTTTACGCAATGTGGGGAGGCACGAGGGTCGGGCTTTTGATCTTCGACTTGGCGGCGCAGGGTCAGAGTCCTAGACCTCCGGAGCTCAGTGGTGTTCTATGTTGCTTGAACTCAGGCCTCAGGCTCCTGTCATCGCTACAAGTCCACCTAACCATTAAGCAATATCTGTCGGCTGTGGGTATGCTCAGTCGCACACCGCCACGAGCTCTGGAGGACAACCTGTTTGAAGCCTCCTTGCTTTGGAGCTCCCAGGAGGGGAGAGTCTTCAGGAGCAGAAATCCCAAGAGACCGCCTCGTTGCCCAAGGAGTGGGTGGCAAACACGCAGAAGGCGGACGCGGGCTGGCTTGGCGAAAAGGTGGACCACCAGACTGAGGTCATGAACTTGGCTTCTCGGCTGATTCCTTGAAATGGGGGGAGGTTGGGGCCTTTCAGGACCAAACAAACCCATGCAGAATCAATGTTTAAAATTATCATGCCCTGCATGAGCTCCCATTGCCAGACTGTCCCTACCCCAGTAGTCAGCACGTTTTCACACCTCCACAAACCAGGACGGGCCGTTAGACCCCAGGGCCCCTTAAAAAAGGTCCCTTTATAGGGTTCATTTTGGGTTATTCTAGGGCCTAAATAGCCCCTGGAAAGGCCAACCAGAAGCAGTTCGACGAGCTGAAGGAGATGGTAGGCGCGAGCGGTTTAGGGTTTAGGGTTTAGGGTTTAGGGTTTAGGGTTTAGGGTTTAGGGTTTAGGGTTTAGGGTTTAGGGTTTAGGGTTTAGGGTTTAGGGTTTAGAATGCCAGGGGCCCTTTGAGGCTGCATGTAGGATTCTATGCAAGATGCGGCCCTTACATGGTGCCTACACAAGCTGACAGTGTTGAAGCTTTTCACTTGTGAATCAAGCTGCCGTCATTGCCACAACCCGTTTGGAAGCGGCTTTTCGGCCTTAGACGGTTTCCCAAGTCGAGGCGGAGACAAGAAGCTGCTCCTTTTGAACGTGCAGCAGCAGACCCGCAAGATCCAATCAGAGCCCCTTTTTTGAACTTCGATCCCTTTTTGGGAGGGAAAGAGTGTTTTGGCACGTTTCGGAGAGCTCGTTGATGGGTCTGGGGTTCCACGAACAGCACGATTGAACCAGCTCGGAAGGCAACCGGCCGACACCAGTCAGGTTAATTGAAGTTTCCAAAGTCCTCCTTTTGCAGTTTCACTCGAAGCCACGAGTGCTGCCCTTCAGCCAGGCCTGAGGCTTCGAGTGCCTGTGAGAGAGAGAGAGAGAGAGAGAGAGGGAGAGTGTTTATAAGCCCTGAACCCCACAGAGGGCATGTTTTGCAGATGAAGGGCGCTTTTCTCTCTCCGAGGCTGCAGGGCTTTGCCACGGGCGCCTCCTTCAGCCGCGCCGCCTCCATGGCCGCCAACGACGCCTTTGAGAAGTTTGCAGAAGATGGCCCCTGGGCCCCTTTTTGGACTCATTTTGTGGGGTTCCGTTGAGAGACTATAGGGTTTACGGCATGCACGGGTCTTCAACCCACCTCTGTTGCAGGACCCGGAGTGTAGGGGAATTGCTTCGGGATGGTTCGGAATGTCTTCAACAGCTCTCCTTCTGGGATGTGCTTTGGGGTCACGACCTCGGCAGATCAGCGTTCGGCCTTCAGCTGCTCATTAAGTTTCGAGTTTATAAGGCCAATGGCGACGATGATGCCCCGATTCTCGAAAGCGTGTAGGGTTCAATTAGGGTTCAACGCTTTCGGCTGCCCAGCTTAGTCGTTGCAATAGCATCCATCATGTGTCACGTGCTGGCACGGACAGTCTGGCACGAGCAGAACGGTTGTTCCACTTCATTTTGCCGCGGCGTCGAGAAAATCCATTCACCTGTTCAGTCCTGGTTGTTCTTGTCTCAGAACGTTTCTCCAAGCTCAATGCCCAGCAAGAAGACAAATTACTGGCTGTCACACCGGGCGAAAGCTGCAATTGGTTTCCTGTCAGTACTCTTCTCGTGGCGGAGTTGTGTTTGGCATCGCTGCTTAGCTGTGTGCTGCCACTGCCGCTGCTACCACTTCTGTTGTCGTTTCCACCACCCGTTCACGTGGTAAAATCGTGGTGAATTGGGCAAAAGTCCAGGTGCCTCCTCACTGGAAGATGCCAACAGTAGCAAGCACGTCGTTGCTGCCTTCGACAGCTTGGTGGCTTTGAAGGACAAGCTGCAGCCGCTCGGCCTGTAAAAGGGGGCCGCAGATGGATAGGTACGTACTGGTACGAACATGTAGGGAGTCTGTGCGGGTCAAGTGTGGGTCATAGGGAGGAACGCCGTGATGGGGCCTTTGGGCATTGCAGCAAGGAAGTTCTGGTTTCAGGTTTGCGTAATCCTAGTCGTCTGCGGAGAGAATCATGGCTGCAGGGAAAGATGTAACCTTGACACAGTTCTGATCCAGAGGCTGCGCACGACCTGGGAATCGGTGCTTGGGGTGAGCAAACGACATACTGTAACATACTAACACACCGTTTACCTTTCCCTCAGCACTCACAAGCCTGATGCTGCCACAAACTCGTGATCCGCAGCCTTGGACGCTAGAGTCACTAGAGGGGCCTTGAGGTCATTGGGTTTTTTTCTGTCTTCCGGGTTGAGGGCTCGAAAGTGTTGGGGCTTCTGTTAAAGTCTCGCTGAAAGCGTGGCTTCATGACGTCTAAGCATTTGTAGCAATGTTACTTGTACAGACCACGACACTGCTAGCGCCGCTAGTACTGCTGCACCCATCTTGGGTCCACTACCGCAGGCAACACCACTTCCGCCGCAGCTAGTACCCCCTGCAGCAAGAACTCAAAAAGACACCCCTGAAATCTACTAGCCCAGGAGTGCGTCAGATCAGCGAGAGAAGGTGGACTACGTGGCGATGCCCTCAAGCAAAATTATGGAAAGAAGAGTTCCGGGCCTGCGTTTTGTCTTCCTTCAGGCCCAGGTCTCTGCGTTTGGGAGCTTGCACGGGCCGGCTGCCCAATTGAACGGAATCCCAGTGTGCGAGCGTGAGTCCAACCCCACATCCATGAACCCTTATAACTCATGGACCATGAATGCCCGATGCCTGGAAACCCTTCAAAGACTTAATCGTAAGTTAGATTAATCGGGATTCTAAGCCCTGAGAGTGCTTCTCGTTGCGCCGTTGATGCTTCTATCGGCGTAGTCACTAGTCGTGGAAGTTGAGTCGTGGAGTGTGTGATTATGCTTCACGAACTTACATGTCTCATCTTGTCGAATACCCTGCCTAGCGACTCGTTCAGCAATGCAGGAGGCAAACAAAACTCCTTGCTGAAAGGCAACACCCCGAGGTCGTTTGGAACCACAAACCCGCAGCCGTTCTGGCTGCCGCAAGCTGATCACTTCCACTGAACAGGCCCGAGCTCACCCTGAACCCTTCAAGTCCATGTAGTTGAGTGAAGCTCCAACCCTAAGTCCCGAAACCTCGACTTGTCAGCGGCTTGTCAGGCGGGGGCGGGAAGAACCTGACATGTTCAACCCCCTCAACCCTGAAGCAGCCTTCAATGACCCTCTCAGCCAGTACAGAACCCTAAATTTCCCTAAGCCCTAAACCCTAAACCCTAAATTGCTAAAAACCCTAAACCAAGGGGCCATTTGAGAGCGTTAAGAGCCCCTTGCATCCCTCCGAGGTCGGCAGTCCGCATGGCTCGTCAGATGCTGCCCGCATGTGAAGAAGGGGAACGCTTTAGGAAGGTGCTTGGTAGGGGGTTGGACAAGTCAAGGTCCTCCTGTAGTCCCCCTGTGTTTCAGGATACTATTTTTCAGACATGTCTAAAAAACAGTATCGAGTTTCTCGCAGCCGATGCTTCATGGGCTTGATCACGGCTGGATCGGCTGTCAACTGGGATGAATAGCGAGCACTCCGCAGAACGCGGCCGAAATGGAGAGCATTGGTATTGCGAACCAGCTCAGATGAAGAGTCGATCAGTATAACAGGACAATGGTCTATGAGTACCATGTACCGACCTGCTGCTGTTGTGCTCCTACAGTTTGGGCTTCTCCTCTTGAGAAGGGTCTTCTTCTATGGGTCCCTGCCAGCATACCTTCAACCCATCGCCCTGAAACCTTCCACCTTCTCCTCAGCAGAGCCTGGGCTTTTCCCAAGTTGCGTCAGTTTCGCTGAAGAGCCCGAAACCCTAAACCCTAAACCCTAAACCCTAAACCCTAAACCCTAAACCCTAAACCCTAAACCCTAAACCCTAAACCCTAAACCCTAAGCCGAGCAACAAGGCAAGAGCAGCTCAAGCTGCAACGGCAGACACTGGGAATCTACCGGCGGCAGCTTGACTATAGGTGTAGAATTGCTTGGGGGGGGGGGGGGGTCTAAAGCACTCAGAGCTTAAAATCTCCGGCCGCAAGGGAGGGTCTGAAAGCCAGGTGTATGCCGCTTAAGCCGAAATGAGATACAATTGTGTTGAGATACAAGTGTGGCTTCAGAGCTTCGTGGCTTTGGGTCAAAGCTGCCAAACCACAGTGCATCCATAGTTTCAGAAGCTGATCATGGCCCTAAACTGCAAACAACAACGAAGTAGTTGAAATTGTGCTGTGGCTACGCAGCGTGTGCCTATCAATGTGAAAAACTGTACCAGAGCTCTTCTCCAGGCCTTTGCCTCCGAAGTGAAGATGTCAAGATGTATTCACATGTGGCGTGCGGCTTTGGGGGCCCGGCAATCTCAATGATGCTACAGGCTTGGCAAAGACCCATGTGTAGCAGAAGTCGCATTGGCTCACTCATTCTTGCTGTTGAAGCGGGGCTCTAGTTGGGGACCTTGCGAGGATCATTGAACTGTTTGTGCTCTTGATCTCCCTGAACACACTTTTGATAGTCGGATTTGTGAAAAATTTATGAGGCACTGCTGGTGTTTCCGATGCAAGCAGCTTTGTGCCAGAATATTGTGCCGCTCACACTTTGCAGCGGAGGGATTCAATGTGTCTCTCGCAATCCTTCGAAGTCTCAACCGTTAAACTTGTAAGAACCACGGGAAAAAGCGCTGGCCGACCTGATGCGAAGACACTTTGAACATGATGCGGAAGCGAAAACGACCTGCCATGAGCCTTGGGTGTCCAGAAAAGAGCACCCCCCCCCCCCCTCCCCCCCAAAAAAACAAAAAAATTAAATAAAATCAGTAATAATAATCATAATAATAAACCGTCAAAGCCTCAACAAAGACTGCACCCAAAGACCAGTCTTGCGGACCGACATCAGCCCGACCCGGACCACCGTTTCCAAAGCCCCGAAGCACATCCTGAAACACCGCTGAGGAGGAGCAATGCCACGCGTGAGATGGCTCGACAGAGGCCCCCGCCCTCCCCTTGATCAAGCTTGGCGCTGTTGGGGCTTTTGCTCTGAAGGTGCCTGTAAGATTGGCAAATCGTGATTGTCTGTAGCAGCAGTTTCTGGTTAAGGTCGGAAATGGTGGCCGCGGCTTGAGCTTCTCGGATAGCTTGCGAAATTTTGAAATACCCCGAGTCCGAGATCCTCTGCGGTTTGATGGCGCATGCCCTCGGCCTTTCCGTGCTCTTGAGTTGCACAGGGCTGCTGGCCCTCCGGCTAGATGGACCAGACGGAGAAGCTGCCGCAAGAACGCCGGCACCGTCAGAACTGGCTGCCCTGGATCCAGAACTCGCGGCCTTGTTGACACAGGCTCTGGCCATGGAGGCCTCGAGACCCTCGAGACCCTCGAGAATTGCAGTGAGAAAGAAACTCGAAGCAGACCTGGAGGCAAAGAAGAGGAGACAGATGGAGGACACCCTGAAGGTGCTGAAGCGGAGTGCCAAGAAGGTCTCCTGGGGGGAGACGGTGACTGCGGCAGAGCTTCAGGCCCAGATTGAAGCCGACTTGGGGACCTGGCTTTCGGCAGAGCCGCCGAAAGAGGCTGCGAAGCCCATAGGGCCCATAGAGCCGCTTCTAGAGCCCATAGAGTATGCCATAGAGCCCTTAGAGTTCTGGGAGCCCCTGCAACTGCAAGGGCTGCAAGGCCCGCATGCCTCTAACTGGCTGAAAAGGCTCCCAGGATCAGTCTCTGAGAGGTCTCGGGAGAGTTGCCAGGCGCAGCTGGGCCGCCTGAGACGAGGCCTCGAAGAGAGGTGCAAGGGCATCAAGATCTACAAGAAAATGCACAGTTACCAACATCAATATGGCAACGAGAACAAGACTTGTGAAGAGAGTGTGAACGACGTGCTGCTTTCCGGGCGTGAGTATGTTTGGGCCGCCCAGAGTCCAAAGATCTCTCTCTTTCTGCCAGAGAGGACGAAGCGTGTGATTGGGTCCTGGGGCTTTATGAGGCAGTGGATCCTAAAGCTCGCCACGGGAGAAGCGGAGGGGCTTCTCTGGGCGGGCTTCTGGGAAGCCGACACAACCGGACGAGCCAGCATGAGCAGGCTCTCCGACTTTGCAAAGCTCACGGACCACCAAATTCTCCATCCCTCGACGCAGCTCGGGCAAGTCATCGCAGACAGTGGGGAGCTCAGCGAGTGCAAGGACAGTCGCACAGCTCCGGTCGTTGACAACCTCTGGGCAGTTGCCAGCATGTCCTTTGTGCTGGGCATGCAGACTTCGGGTCAGAGCAGTGTCGTGGCTTTGGTCAACAAGAGAATGGACGGCGCTCGTCCGCTGAAGGATTCCGTGCTCGCTCGGTACGAGATTCCCACCATTGGGATGGCGATTTGGGGGTGGGGCTGGAGCCCCCAAATCATATTGCTAGATCTTCAGGGCACCTGCAACGAGACCAGCCCCTTCCTGCGAGGACGCCTGTCTTCTAGTTTGGAGTTTGCTTGGGAGGGCCGCCAGACTGGTTACGGTTACACGCTGCACGACTTTGCTACAAGCGCCGTTCCTACTTGGAGATGTATTAACTGTGGCACGAATTCTGGCTGCGAGCTTGACCAGCACCTGGCCGACGAGGTCATTCGGCCCCTTTTGCAGGTGAAGAGATGGCAGGATGAAACTGGCAAGAAGCTCGTGGATGCTGCACGACGCCTTGACGTCGCTGAGGTGACGAGGCTGCTAGCCCCGCTAGCCAGCGAAGGAGTTCGGGCACCCGACGTGGACTTTCATGCAAACTACGTGGGTGCCCCGACAGCGCTGTACTGGGCGGTCCTTCACGGACACGAGGAGCTGGTGCGGCTCTTACTCGACAAGGGCGCCGACCCCAACTTGAAGGACGACCATGGGCGGACACCGCTCTTCTATGCATCGGGGAAACTTTGTGTCATAGTGAGGTAGCATTTTGCATTTTTACGGGTGATAAGGAATAGAACTTTAGATTCTTAATACTATCCCAGCCATGAACGAGGAAAGGACAAGTGGAGGTGGTGAGGCTGCTTCTGGCCCATGGGGCTGACCCCAACATTCAGGATGCGGCTCAGAAAACGCCTCTGAGCAGAGCTGCGAAGAATGTCACAGAGCTGCTGTTGGCCAATGGTGCCAAGCCTGCGAAGCCCTATAAGAAAGCCGACTTTGCAGAGCTGCGTCTGCGGCACCACAGGGCTGCAGAGAGGGCCGAGAGGGCCCAGTGGTGATAGAAAAAGCGCCACGTCCCTTCTGCGCAAGCCGCCGCCCAACTGAGCTGAAAAAGCTTTCATGGTTTCTACACGTTTCTAGTGAGTTTGGAAGGCTTGTGTGAGTTACGCCAGCCCCCGAGTCCTCGCCTGGTACTGCCGCGTGTCCCTCGGCTTTACACCAAGCACGACTGCGATTGCAATTGTTGTCTTTGACGTTGTTGCTGCCGGCGTCGTCGTCACAGGTTCCTAAACCCCAAACACTGGACCATGAACTTAAGCAGGGGAGCTGCCGTCGCCTCTATGGCAGCCGAGCGCCACGCAATGCTTCTGGACTTGGACCGCCAGCGGCTTAGACACATCTGCGTGCTGTAAGGTTGTGGTTGTGGGATCAAGAGGGTCGTTTACAATGAAGACAATCGCGCTACCCCCCCCCCCCTACACCCTTTCTTGCGATGAAACTCCACTCCTCTTGACGGAGTTCAAGTATGTGATATCAGGCAGCTTCTCTTGGAGATAAAGGGTGGGCGTGACTCTTCGTCGTACTGTTGTTGAGCAGCAAATCGCACCTGAGGGGCCGTGCGGGTTGTGTTCTATTCCCCAGATATCCCCAGCCTCCATGTGAGCGGCTTGATCCCAAATTGCTCAGAGTCTAGACTTGACGTGCTACGTGTTTGCAGAGTTTGCAGGCTCCAAACCACCCCCAACCCAAGGTTTACTCACCCCCCCTTAAGCCCTTTCAACCCTTGAAGGACTCCCTTGAACCCTCCAAGTTGCAGAGCAGGCGTTTGGTGGAAGATTCGCAATGTACTGGACGACTACATGGAAGACGCAGGGAGCGAGATCGACGGCAGCTTTCGAGCAAGCAGCATCCAAATAAGACAATGTAAAGGTACTATACTATACTACACTATAGTATAGTATGGTATGGTATAGTATAGTAGAGGCAGTTTCTTTCCCGGCAAAGTAGACATGACAAAGGAGACTGTCCTACTCCCGAGAGGACTAGTGCTAAGCCCCGCCCAAACCCGTGGCCTGTTGGTCACATCTGACACTGAAGAGCGCTCCCTACATCACTATACATGACACAAGATACGCGGGAGCAAGGCTACGAGGCTGGGTCTCACGCGCTGTCGCAGTACGAGCAGTGTGGCTTGGCATTAAAGCGGGGAGGGGCCCCAGGGAGGGACTGGAGACTGCCATTGCCCTGCCACTGCTGCTCAGCATGCTCTTGCTGTGGTGATTGTCTTTTTCCAGCGATTCAGGACTACTGCAGCTCAGCCTTTGCTAGTCATGGAAACAAGGGAACAAGAAAGCAGCAATCGAGAGCCGGCTCGCATCCGGGCAGCATGTTTGCAGGCTCCATGGACTTCACCAGCCTGCTGTCCATCTACAAGCAGACCATGGCAACGACGGATCGGGCGCACAGGCGGGGTGTTTCATTCTCAGGTTCCATGCGAATCTCAGGGGGCTTACGGGTGTTTCATTCTCAGGTTCCATGCGAATCTCAGGGGGCTTACGGGCATGGGAGAATCTGCAGTGTAGGACTCTTTGGGGTGGTGTGGAAAGATAATCACTATGAGGTCTGAAGCCCACGTTGCAGAGACTGGCGGAAGGGTAAGACCCGACGGGGTTACGCGTTAGATTTAGATGATCTGCGGAGCTCGTGCCACAACTGGGCCAGTCAGGCTTGAGACTCGCGCTCGGCGCAGCGAAATTGCTTCGGAAGGCTTTGTTTTGTGAGACTCTCGCACCTCCTGCATGCCAGGCCCGCAAAGCTTGACATGCGTGTCAACCGAGGGTCAGGGTACGTACTTGTAGATGCATGACCTGGCTACACGAAGCGGCACAAGCCCATGGGAATAAGATCCGAAACTGCAGCCATCGTGTCGACAGAAGGGTCCACCAAGGCGGACTTACGTCGGATAGTGCATTTTTGTAGTGGAAGCTGTAGGAGTTGTTGTTGGGAAGACAAGGGAAAATCGAAGTCCATAGCTGAAGCCCAACTTTTTTCGGAAAAGACCTGGAACACGCCCTTGGGCCACTGACTTTGTCTCGAGGTCCTTGAAGAAGACCTGGCGACACGCCTCCAACCTTCTCGGCCCCAGAGCTGCACGATGCTGCATTTTGAAATCTGGGGGAGTACGAGTTAACAGGGGACCCCTAAAATGGACCCACAAGTAGTAGGGTTCCCTTATAATAAGGACCCCCCAGTAAGGTACGCCTAGTTTCGGAAAGCACCATCTCAGGTGGTGCTTCGACTGTATAGTTTTCGCCATGAGTACTTGCAGTGGCCGCGATTGCACTCCGTTTTCAAGGGGTTGTGAAGCAGTGGCGCACATGTTGGATGTAAGGAGTTTGGGTAGTAGACTATATGAGCTCTCCTAATTGAGGAGTTTAGCTGCACCGAGGATATGCACTTCAGGTCACCTCTACCAGCGGTATTTGCGTCAACCTCGAGCACAATCAGGTCTTGAAACCGACTTAGAAGAGGTATCACAATGTATCCTACAGAAACTGTGCGGCATGTTGACAGGGCAAAAGAGGCACCGCCCCCCCCCCCCCCCCCCTCCAAAAAAACGGAATAAATATTAAGACATAAAGAGAAACGTTGGGGAAAACTTCGAAAACTGTTTTTAGCAAAGTCATTCTTCGAATCCTTGAAAAGCCTTTGGCGCTGTGCCCAGGCGAGCTTGCCTCGCACCTGGAGGACGGCGAGGCGTTTGTGACCTTCCTGCAACAAGAAGGCCTGCTGCGGTTCAGGGTTCAGGGTTCAGGGTTCAGGGTTCAGGGTTCCCTAAACCCTAAACTCTAAACCCTAAACCCTAAACTCTAAACCCTAAACCCTAAACCCTAGGGTTCAAAGTTGAGGGTTAGGGTTTCTGCAGCAAGGAAAGCTCTGCAGGGGATGACACGCATGCACAATACATGGGGGCTGCGCCCAGCCCTTGGCTCGCCAAACAGGCTGCCAGTCTCCATTGGCCTTCCAGACGCTCGAGCAAGCTCGCGACGCCACAAGTGGTATGAGGACAGGTTGAGTCGTTTTCGTGTTAAATCAGCGTCCTCGGACATTCTGGGGCCCATTTTCGTATGTCAAACTGCAGCGGATGACAGGCTCTCGATTGATCTTTTGGGGGGCTTGTGGGCAACTTGCGGGTTACAAGGTTACAAGATCGTGGCGGTTTGGAGTCTCATGGTTGAGGATTGCAGGTTGGTTGCTAGGGGATCCTTGGATGAAGCGTCCCGGGTTAGGCATGCCTCCTGAAAGGCCTAAACCCTAAACATCCCTAAACCCTAAACCCTGAACCCTAAGTTCGTGGGCTGTTGCGCAAGGATGCTGTACCACCGGTTTGCAGTATCGGGACTACCCGCGCCAAGTGTCGAGCTCATGGGGAACACGGCTCCTTTTATGCATTTTAAAGTGTGTTTGGGTAGTCGGGAGTATGAATGTGGGTTGCATCGTAGCAATTCGGGCTTCTGCAAGTTGTCTTTTGTGTAGGCGTATCGGTTCCTCCTCCGGTTTCCTCCACTGAGATGACATGCGGGCTAGCAAGCTCGTTGGAGCTGGACGACGCTTGTGGGAGTGGGAAGGGGTTCATTCAGTTCATGGGTAGGCACAAATCCTTTCATCAGGGCTGTAGTCTCTCGGATGGCTGCATGTGATTGCCGCTGTTCTTGTGACAACTCCAGCAATGAGCTGATCTCAGTCCCGGCAATCCGCTGTATGATCACACCGACTTTGTCTGTGTGTGTGTGCTGGTGCGGTGCAGTATCGGATCCGTGAAGTGGCAACTGGAGTCATCAGAGGTGGAATAGTTTGGGTCCAGACGAATGCTTAAGTGCATTACAGCTCGAAACCTTTCCCAACAAAGAGGACGACGCATGCCATGCCTCAGGTCAACCGGATCAAGGGCAGCTGGGCCTCTGCGCAGCAGGCCATCTGCAACAACAAAGGCGCCCCAGCAGCAAATGACGGGCGAAGGGGTGAAACCGAGAATGCCAGCTGCTTTTGGACAAGGTTAGTTAGACTTGCAGCAGGGCACCGTGTTTCTTCAACGTATCTTCATACTTACAGCAGAGCCCGGACTCGTGCACACGTTCCCTTTGTGTTGAAGTTCATGATATCTGCTACTCTTCCCGCCCCTTGCCCATACAGTACCTTCCCACAAGGTCAGCTGCCTGACTGGTACATGCCGCTGGAATAGAGCGACGGGCAGCATTGAAACGACGCAAAAGATGCGCGCGGGGGCGGCATCGGGAATTTCAAGGGTGCTGTGGTCATGATTCTCTTGGCTAGGTCGTGCACAGATGGTCAAGTGCTCTGCTCTTTCAAAGTTTGGGTTTTTTGAGAAGAGCATACTCCGTATATCTACTGAGACCTAATGCCCTATTCGCACGAAATTACCAGCTTGCGAGCCCGAAGGTCAATGAGGAATCCTAAGTCCTAGCTCCACGAAATAGCGTCCAGCACAAACAAATGCGAATCGCCGTTTGGGGTTTAGGGTTTATGGGTTATAGGGTTTAGAGTTTAGGGTTTAGGAAGGGCGTGCATGACGTTTGAGCTTTCGAAGGTCCTCGGAGCCATGCGGGGCCGAGCTGCTACTGTCGGCTGGCCTCCTCTCCTTCTTCCGGCCTCCTCTCCTTCTTCCGTGTTATGCTGATTACAGTGGCAGCAAGTAATTATAGTATTTCTCGTAGGACGAAAGGAGTTTTCAGCAATCGTGGCTACAGAGAGTGATCTCGCAAAGCAATGATTGCAGCTGTGAGCTCTTCAAATTTGCTTCCTCTCCTTTCCCGCGCGACGCGCCATCGACCTCCGAAAAAACGATGGCAATCTGACAGCAGTGGGTTGCCCGTGACAGAACAAAATTGTGGAAGGGAGCGTTATGGCCTTCAGCAGTCTGCCGTGGCAAGGTGAAAATTCCGGTCTATGCGCTGCTGCCGGTGCTTGTCGGGCTGTTCATAGTGCCCCGGCTTAGGGATGCTTACCATGCCTCTCCCATCTTCGCCAGCCAGATTTTCTGAAAATAGGTTTGCCAAGCGGCCGCTTCTTGCTTAGAGCCCAAGAAAGCAAAAGGCTCCCGAAAACAGCCAAGGCCTGGCAACAGAGCAGCTTCAGCTCAGGCCAGGGCAACAGTATTCTCACATTTACCTCATGTCTTCTGCTTGCAAAAGTCTGGGGTTTTTGAGGGTTGTTGAGTCCCAGGGCAAACAAAAGGGCTGTCGTCAAGCTCCGAAGTGTAGGAGCCCTCAGCTCGAAGGCACCTATGCTTCCTGGGGTTTAGGGTTTAGGGTTTAGGGTTTAGGGTTTAGGGTTTAGGGTTTAGGGCTTTGGCAATGCACAAACCTGCTCTCCATTGTCCCCCGCCTGTTGTAAAAGCAGACTGCAAAGGAAAGAACCCGCCCGAGAGAAAACCCCCCAACCTGCCTCAGGACCTTCCAAACACCTCACGAAGTCCCTGTCCATGATGCTCGGATGGCACAGAAGTCATGGCTCCCGCAAAAAGGGACCCTATCGAGGCATATCCGGGAGCCAGTGCCAAGTACTATAGGGCTCCTCGTTTACAAGGACCGCCTGTCATTCTTCACCCTCTGTAAGCCCTAAACCCTAAACCCAAAAACCCCGTAAACCCTAAACCCTACACCCTATAAACCCTAAATCCTATGTGACCCTATGACCCGCCCAAGGATTCAATTGAAGCCGGAGCTCAGCAAGAGCGAGGCTTGGGATGAAGCTCGAAAACCTCCTGGCTGGTTTTTAATGAGGGAATGAGGTACCATATACCCAATAGGCATATATTTTTACACATACAATATATACATACAGGCCCTTTAAGGGATTATCTATACCTCCTTCCCTCATTCCCTACTAAGAACCTGGGGGATACTCGGTGCTGAGGGTGGTCCTTACGGTGCTGCCCTGAGCAAGGTGGAGCTCGAGATGACGCCCTACACCCCGGTTGCCATTCAAAAGACGATGCCTGGCGCCGGCGGATGCCCCGGTCGGTCTAATGTAGTTAGAATAGGGTTTTGAGGGTGATTAAAGCATATTTAAGAAGGGACACTAAGGGAATATGTTTAGTAATAATTCCGACCCCAACACGAAGGGTTTTCAGGGAAGGCTCTGCGCAGCTCCACCTGCGAGACGCCCAGGTGCCAAGACGATGAGTCAACCTTCTGGCTGCCCTCACGAGGACGGGGTTTTTTGCTGTATCGCAGAATTTCCAAACCCCTCCCAGGACCTTTCGTCACCAACCGATGATCAATGTGGTGTTGCTTACAGCTCGCATCTTGAGATTTTGGGGTGCTCAGGAGGCCGGCCTCATGCCCTTCGGCAACTTAGGCACCTCGGGGGACATCACGATCTCCAGCAACTCGGCCTTGAGCCGGATACCATCCTTGCCAAGCCTCAAGCCATCGAAGCATGTCGGTGCTCTCCCCTAGGTGGACGCTACCTCCTCTCCGCCTCTGCAACAATCCGCTCGCTCACGATCAACAGCGGAGCTGAACTCATCATCGGCGATGTGGCAGGTCTCAGTCTGCTTTAGCACGGAGTCCGTAATGTCAGGCTTGTTGCCAAGCAGCGGTTTTTTTTGCATGTGTGTTGAACACACATTTCAGAGTCCCGCCAGATTCACTCGACTGGCAGGTTTGTCGCTGGAAACACAGGCGATCTATGTTCGAGGCAAGAGTTTCTGTCCATGTTGGAGATCACATTCGATTGGTGTTCTAACATGACTGGCCCGTCAAGCTTCTCATATGAAACGCCAACCTGCACGCACTCGTAGACAGCCTACGCCAACCCAATTGGCAGGCGCAAAGATTCATACGAGGTATTTCCCTAAGATTGACCGATGCGGATTGCTTCCGGCTAGACAACAACCCGTCCATTTTCCGAGCAGCCTGTTGCCATTGCTACACTGTTATTTCGTCTGCTACGATTGACTCTGATGCAAACACGAGAGGCGGCCCACGCCACAGCACCCGCGGAACCGCTTGGTGTAGCGCCGAACATGTTTGCACCATCAGAGGCACACTACGATTGGGATCTGCCACCTGCCCCTTGACACTCGGAGCTGCACTCGACATATGTTGCATGGGTTCACTTTTTAATGCTCGAACTCTTGTGTGTCACGGCCACCCGAGCGATTGAGCCGATCTTCGGCCCACCGAGGACGGCGGGAGGCCTGGTGGTAACCTTCACCGGCTCGGGCGACATGTCTTCCAGGCCTCCGCTCACGGAGCGCGTTGACGCAAAGTGTCTGTGCATCCATGGGCCACTTTGTGGCTGCCAGGTCCACGAATCCCTTGAACACCAAGGGCCTGACTGTGGGCGACGGTGGTATCTTGGAGGCTACACCGACTGCAAGCTGTTAACTTGCTGTTATGTTAGCCCAAATTCATATTTCCAGCTTCATGTGTCCCATCACGTCACATCGCGCAGGTGTACGGAAAGCGCTACTGGCCTACCTGGTCCCTTGTCTGCCTCGGGTTCCAAGCTTGTGACGAGTTCCCGTCGAACTTATTTCGTTTCAAGACTTTGACCCCTCGCAACAGAGAGGCATGCACGTAGGGCCCTCTCAAGCTCGTACAGACCACGGCACTTGGACATGGCCATACGGACGTTTCGTAATCCTTTTCAAAGCCTGGGCATGTGCTGCAAGTGTTGCCGAGCGCCTCCTGTCGAGGACCCGCCTCTCTGCCAGTGCTCCACCGGGTGCAACTCAATTGTCGCTGGCGGACCAGGCCTTTATTTGTGCTGCGAAGCCTTTGTTTGCAGCATGGCTACTCAGTGTCCATGCAGCTGTCGCCGATCACATTCGAGGTCGACTGGATGGTCGGGCAGAAGGTGGTGCTGACGACCACCTCGTACATCGATGACGATCCGGACAGCTTGGGTGTTTCAAAAGCAAATTCCAAAGAATTCGGGGGGCTAGCGTCTGGCTGGCCTTGAGGTTCCATACTTCTTTGTTGTCCCAAGATGCTGAAGGGCGACCTGCAGCCTCTTTGCTCAGCTTGCTCTGACTTTAGAGCCCTTGCCAGAACGACCACCAGAACGAGGTCCGGGAGATCGCGGCGGCCCCTCGGTCTGTTCTCAGGTCTTCGTGGGAATGTGTCGACACTTTGAGTGGCTTTCAACTGACTTGGGAAGACTTTGTCCGAGCTTGGCTCAACTCCACAGCGGCTCTGAAAATACCGCCCGAAGAATGGAACTTGACTAGAAGGGGGTTAAACATCACGCCCAACGACTGCGCCAAAGGCAGTAGATTCCGCCCCTTTTCCCTTCCGGTTTCTTCCTACTTCTACCCGCACTACCCTGCTTATGTGTCGTCTTCCCCTCCGCCTCCCATGGCCGGCTTGCATCGCGCAGTTGCCAGCGTCACCCCTTGAAACCCTAAATCCTGAAACCCCGAAACCAATGACCCTCCGCTAACTCCTAAACCCCCATATAAACAGAGAGAGAAAGTTTGTTGGCCCCAAAGTCAAACACCGAGGCCTTCCCCCCTCCCCCCCCCCGAAGAACCCTGAAGACCCAAACCCCGGAAACATCCTAGCAGAACCCGCAAGAAGCCTGAAGCCTTAAACCGGAATCTTTCTAGGTCATAGGAGAATTCCCCGAAGACCCTACCCCAACGCCTCCCCAAATCCTAGGTGAGCGGCAACCAGATCACCCTGACTCAGGGCCTTCAGTTTGGGCACTACGGCGGGCCGGAGCCACTTCGGCCTACTGCATGTTGAAGATTTTCTGTTGAGGGGACTTCATATGCTTACGTTTCCGGGCCTTGATGGATAACAGTTTACGATGATTTTGCTGATGGACCTGACTATTCAAGCTGGTGTCCCTTATTCAAGAAGGGGACTTCGGATTCTTCGGCTTTGCCGGGTTTGGGCGTGCTGTCTCGGGTCGACCATGCAGCTCTGTCATAAAAGTGCCATAAGGCGTGAGCTTGTAGAATTTCTTTGAGATGCTTGTCTTGCCTCGTGCCTTGGGTTGAGGGTTGAAAAGCCATGCTCTCTTGCTGCCACTTTCAGTGCCCGTCTTCTCGGTCCGAGGTATGCTGCAGAAGTTGCGCTGCTGTCGCGGACCATCACCTTCCAAGGAGCTGAAGGGTTCAGCGATAGGGTTTAGGGTTTGGGGGTTTAAGGTTCAGGGTTTAAGGTTAAGGGTTTAAGGTTTATGGTTCCAGCCTGCGGGCCTTCAGCGGGGGGGCTGGGGCTTTGGACGTTTCGTGCTCTTAGGGCTTGGGTGTGGTGGCCAGGAGATGCTGCCAGCGAAAGCACCCGACGCTCGGCCCAAGATGCAGTGATGGAGGAAGTCGAAGCTGCGAAAGCGGCGAAGCCAAGCGTACACAGCCCGGATTAAACCCTAAACTCTAGCCCTAAAAGCCCTAAACCCCAAAAATACCTCAAATCAAAACCCTAAACCCTAAACTAAGCCCTAAAAGCCCTACTAAACCCTAAACCCCAGCCAGGCTACGGCGGCCACATCATGTGCATGCCTGGGTCTCAGTGCCGCGTCGCTGGGGCCATGGCCTATCGGATGGGCCAGGAGAACAAGATGGGCCGGTGCCCTCGGCGTGCTTTTGCATCCCCCCCCAAACCTTACAATGAGGTTTAGGGTTTAGGGTTAAGGGTTAGGGGTTAAGGATTTAGAGGTTAGGTTTGGGGTTTGGGGGTTTAGGCTTCGGCGAGCTTGTGCCCCCCCCCAACAAAGCCTAAGACCCCAACCTTACAAGAAGGGTCCTATATGAGGGTTACAATGACTACAAGTGAAGAAGGGTTTCGAGAACCTCCCAGAAGGCACGTGAGCTGCAAAAAAGAAGCCACAATCTTAACCCTTCTCTTCCGGAGCGAGGTACCCCTTCCACTTCCACGTCATGGGCCGAGTGAACGGGGAGTCCTTCTTCGAAGACAGCCTCGTCCAGCACAGCTTTTTCCGCGCCTTCACGGCTCCTTGCTTCATCCCCAGAAAAGCCCTATAAAGCCCCAAAAAGCTTATAAGACTTCAGTGTTTCGGGTTTCGGGCTCCCATAAATCCCTATAAAGCCCAATAAAGCTTCAGGTGTGTCGGGTTTCGGGCTTCGGTTTTCAGCACAAGGTTTATGACAAGGCTGTCAGAGCCATGAGGCTCCGAGAAGCTGAGCCAAAACGGGGCACGATACGGCTCAGGGGTTTCGGGGTTTAAGGGTCTGGATGTAAAAAGGGGTTTAGGTTTAGGGGTTTGGTGGATTGGGGATTTAGGGTTTAGGGGTCAAGGGCTTGGTGTTGGGCTGTTTCAGCAAGACAAATCTGTGCTTCTTGCATAGGGTCGAAGTTTCACATGGGTCCTGGGCTGGGCAAACCACGGCGAGACCACAACATTGAAACATCTCACTTCCAGTGATGATGACACTAGGTATGCGCGAGTGTTCACACAGCCCTCGCCAATCGCTGAAGCAGTAGTTTGTGGAAGCAAGCATGGTGCTGGTGCCTTTGGTTGTAGCTGCAAGGGTACAGTAGCAGTAGCTGGCGTGATCAACATCTTGTCGTAAGGATCCGACCGAACCCCTGGGGAAAGCAATCGCCCTTGCCGTCCCAGGTGCACGGCACGTCGAGCTCGAGAGTGTCCCGCAATGTGGCTTACGACATTTCGGGAAGCGCCTACTATCTTGAAGATGGCATTGAAACTTGGCACCAGTGAGTCAGGGCCTTGTTGGTGTCGTTGCATGCCCCGGCTTCGTCGTTATAAGTGTTCGGAAGATTGTGCGTCAGGAAGAGGACAACCTCTTCGAGTTCAACCTCGCGGCTTTCATCCTCATCATCGACAAGCTCAACGACTACGGGGTTCCTCGGCTTAAGAGGGACACTCAGGTAAGCCTCGGTTCTTGTTTAAATCTCGCGATCCCCAGGGCGGTGGCCAGGGCGGAGTGAGGATCAACACGCAGCCGAGCCGCCTCGTCCCCACCGATGCCACAGCTGTCGGGCTGCTCACTTTTGCACTGAAGTGGAAGTCAAGGAAAGAAGGGGGCACCCAAGAACCAAAAGTTGATTTTGGCCTTGTGAAGAGGAGCAGGCATGGGAGTCCGCATGTGCAGCAAGTAGCAGCTAGCACTTTTTTGCCCTAGAGGAGAAAGGCCAGTAAGTTCTACCGGCGAGCTTCGCTCAGGTTCTACTGCACCAATGCAAAGAACAGATGGATTGGAAACTCTGCGAGTGCCTTGCCTGCGGACAGTCTACAATGCACTGTGCTAGAAAAAATGCATGCTTGCGATCTTTACTCCTTGCGAAGCTGGTGAACTTGCGGCTTCGTGAGAAGTTAGCTGCACCTGGCAGCCTGGGCAGTGCGTGACAACAGACGGAACAAGTAAACACAGGAAAACACGAAGTACACATCTACATCCCTAGCGGCAAGATTCATTCCGCGAAGTCTTGTTGCAGGCGGTGGCTTTGCTGGCTTTCACTTTCCTCGTGTGCCCTACGTCCTTGGCGACACCTATGCGCAGAACCAGGCGTGAGCTGCGACCATAAACTGTTGCCAAGCACATGTCATTGGTGCGCTTTGTACAGGACTACCGCCCGGACGAGAAAGAGTTAGGCGAGTTTGACTCGAACACTGCGCACTCATCAGGCCGATGGGGGTCGACTGAGTGATTGCTTTATGTTGCTTTAAAGGCACGACAACTTTTGAATAAAGGAAGTTGTGACCTCAGACTGATGTGAGGGCTTTCTGTAGATTCTACAAACATCAGGACTTCGTACAGATGTCACTTGTAGCTCCCTCCCAGGGAGTTTGTGGCATGTTACGCGCAACCTCAGCTGTGCCGGGCAGGGCGGCTATGGAGCCGTGGCGGCTGCATGTATGTCGGCGGCGAGCTCTGGGACCCTCAGCGATCGCAGCTCTTGTGTTGCGATGGGCCTTGCCTGGTTGCTGTCAGCTGTTTGTAAGCCTAACTTCCCGCTCCTCCCGAAGCAAGCCTCAGCCATGCACGCTTGCAGCTGGTGTCGAATGACTGAGGAGGACAACAAAGGCTCCCATGAGTACCGCTACAACAGCGGCCGGACAACAACGAGGAAGGAGGGCCGCTTCATTTGGACCAACACCAAGGCCGCTGTGTGCAGACGACTTCAGGGCGTTCCTTTAAAGGAGGAATAAGTGCAGACGGGTTGAGGCATCGGACTCTCTCTCCTTTCTTTTGGCAGGTGTTCGCTTGCCGGAAGGGCGTCCTTTTCTGGGGCGACTTGGCGTGTGAGGAGCTCTTTGTTTTGCCTAGAGAGGCGGGAGCCAAAAGATCAGGTGCCGGCGGCCGCTGGCCGAATCTGGGCTTGGAAGGCTTCTTGGCCTCAACCCTATAGACCCCACCTACACCCTAAACCCTCAGTTGCTTAGATTCGGAGAGCAAATTTCCTAAACCCTGAACCGCTGGAAACTCCCGTAGCCTTGAAAGCTTCGGATTCGGCTGCCTCGAGGCTTCGAGGCGCACGACATCTCTCGCGCGGTCACCATGCTAGGTGACAACTACATGCGGCCCGGATATTTTTTATATATTTCTGTGTATATATGTATATATATATATATGTATATCTCTCTCTCTATCAGTTCTGGGCAGCCCCAAACCCGTGAAAACCTGAAATTCTACACTGAGGTATAACTCGGTGGTCAGTGCGCACACGGGCAACACCTTCGCCACGGACCTGCCCAGCGTCACTGACGGCTTCGAGCTGCAACTCGGGCTCCACAGGGGGCAAATGAGTGCACGCACCGATGCGCTGTCTTGGGGCCGAAGCAGAAGCCTCCAAAAGCCGGAGCTGCCTCTCAAGAACGCCCCCAAGCCCTGACATTCACAAAGCCTTCAACCTCGAACTCTTGAGAAAAACCCTGAACTCCGAAGCCCCTCAATGTGCAGCACAAAAAACGCCCCTTAAAAACCTCAGGTACGACACCGGCATGCAGACCATCCTCTCACAGGCCGAGACCTGACTTTGGAGGGCCCAAGACAAGAATCGCGCAAAGAACACATCCCTCGGCTGGTTTCATGTGAAGGCTTACGAAAACAGGGGACTCCTAAACTAACCCCCCCAAATAGTAGGATTCCCTTTATAAGAAAGGACCCAGAGTAAGGTACCCCCACTATCGTAAAACCCCCATGTCTCAGGATGTGCATTCCGTCATTCCCTATATGGGTAGTTCGCTGTCCCTTTTCGCGTCCTACATACAAGAGAACTACCCAAAGCAATCTTTTTCTTTTGCATCCACATCTGCATCTCTATCTACATCCAGAAGCACGCACGTGTATATGCATCCATGTATATCATACACACCCGATCCATCAAGTGACCACATATCCGCAATAAAATCGTCCCAGGTGACATGGCGAAACTTCGACCGACCTGGGGATGTGGCCATCATGGCCCCTTGGCTCTAGATCTCACAGCCCTTGCCGTCCCAAAGCATCCGCGGCATAGTTTTATAAGACTGTAAGGATGCCTTGGAAGCGCAACTGAAAACTGAGGACATGACTCACAGCAACATCTTCAAGCCTGCAGGACCTCATGCGCATTGTGGAGGGACTGAAGCGACTGAAGTTAGAAGACTGTGACAAAAAAGCAACAGGTTTCTATGCAAGAGGAAGCGTGCCAAAGACGTCTCCTACCTTGCTCTCGAGAGGAATGTTTGACACGCGGGCCCAATACTTCGAGGGAACCCCGTTTGCACAACGCCTGCGCCAGAGCCTGAGTCCGCCATTCGCGCGCATCCGACACATGCGAGCCCCACGACACGCGTCTTCCCGCAACACGTCCGACCGTCCTCGAAGCACCGAGGTCATGTCGAACGATACGCGTGCACATCGCCACTTGCTCAAACATGGAAGTTTGTGCCACCGGAGAGCCCCGACATCCAAACCCGATCAAGCTTGCATGCCAGTCCTCATATCTTAAACCCTTAAACCGTGCCGACAGCTTAGGTTCCATCAGGACACCTGCAAGAACCGGTGCGACTTCTGCCCAGGGACAGCTGGATCTTCGCAGGTTGCCAACATGCTGGATGTGGCTCAGTCAAGAGTGCAAAATAGTCTTCCTTCAGCTTCCCTGGTATACTGTAGTCACTTTGGGCCCCCTATGAATCTGGAGATTCTCCCACCCGGCCCCCCGGTGCTTCAATCGCAAAGCCAAGACGGACGGGACCTTGGTCGGTTGGAATGAGCCCGCCATCATCGGTGCCGATGACGAGGACCCTTGGGGCCCCTTGGGGCGGTCCCAGGCCGAAGGTAGCACCGTGCTTTTGCATCATTGCTCTTTGAGCGCAAGTGTGCAATGTGTCGACACAGGACTCAGAAACCAACTACCGCACAAATGACTGGTGGCGCATCGATGACAGCATCCTGGCAGAAAGCTTCAGAACGAGCAGCAGAAGAAGCAACACCACCGCAGCAAGAATCACCAGCAACAGCACTACGTACTGCGGTAGCCACATCAAGACAGCGAATGAGCGCATTAGAGCGGGGTCATCAAGCTGCATCCAAGAGCGCTCTCCTGGCTTCTGTGCCCTATAAGTGTCGCGGCTGCGCGGTATCTGGGGCCCCTTGAGGTTCTGAAAGCCGGGATGCTAATACTCCATCCTTCCTGATGTTGGGTCAGGGAAAAGGTTGAAAATGCCTTCCCTTGAAGTCTACTCTTGTTTCGGAGCCTTAAAAGAACGGAGATGCCCCATGAAAACATGTGCCCAAAGAAGAACCCTAAACCCTAAACCCTAATCTCGAATTCTCTGCCCCCGCGGCCTCGAGGCTGCGAGCGGAATCTCGACTGGGGCTTCTGGATCTGCCCCACGAAAGGCCACCGGCCCGGGGCCCCAGTAAAAAGAAGGGTTTCAGGGTTTTAGGGTTTTCGGGTTTTAGGGTTTTCGGGTTTTAGGGTTTTAGGGTTTTAGGGTTTTAGGGTTTTAGGGTTTTCGGGTTTAGGGTTTAGGGTTTAGGGTTTAGGGTTTAGGGTTTAGGGCTACAGACATCCACAGACATCCACAGACATCCGGATTTTAGTTTTGGAGGTTATTTCGTGAGGGCTTTCGGGTCTTGGGTCTTTGAGATCTGGGATCTGAACCTATGCCATCCATGGGGCTTTCTCCAAAGTGCACCGAAATCTTTAACTCGAAGGTTCGCAGAAGGATTGAGGCTCCTTGTCAATCTGCGGTAATTTTCGTCGAAACCCTCAGAGCTCTTCAAAATCTCAGTTCTCCCCAAGGGCGATCGCGAGCCTGTTCTTCATGAAGGGCCTCCAGGACAGGTATCCGGACCGCACGGACTCCAACACCGCCGCACCTGGGCGGCACCAGGATCGACAGAGGACCTGGCAGAAGAGAACTCAGTAATATAGTAATATAGTAATATAGTAATATAGTAATATAGTAATATAGTAATATAATAATATAGTAATATAGTAATATAGTAATATAGTAATATAGTAATATAGTAATATAGTAATATAGTAATATAGTAATATAGTAATATAGTAATATGGTAATATAGTAATATTGTATTATGGTAATATGGAAATATAATAATAGATAGTCATAAAGTCATCCTTGGGGGTCACGTAGCTAAAGCTGTGTCCACGGAGTCGCGTGGGCGTGTTCTGGACAAGTACTCGACAGAGAGGGTGCCTCGGTGAGGCTGGGTCTATACAACCACCCAAGTGCATGTCAGCAGAGGATGCAGCTAGAAGAGCCATGCTGTCAGTTGAGGTGGGCAAGGTTTACCACTTCGGCCGACGCTGGGCTCCAGTTGTCAGCGTGAGGTTGAGGGTCCATTGAGGGTTTTCAGGGGTCTTGTGAATTCCACACAACCTCCAATCCTTCAGAGACCCCTCCGGAAAGGGGGGTTTACGCCCAATAGTAGGATTCCCGTATATAAAGGCCCACAAAAACGTACAGCCCAATTTCGCAGACCCCGAAATGCAGCGATATTGGCCAGATGAAGATCGCCACGTCGACTTGGGCTTGGCCGAGAGCCCCATGGCCCCTTCGACGCGTGCTCTAGAACCGAAGCCCTGAAGTTCTGAGGAGGTGTAGGGAATGGCTTACGGCTTACATTCCCAAAAGGAAAGCGGGATTTGGCAAACTTAAGCCCTGAAAATCTGTGGGATGACTAGGGGTGTAGTCAGTTAGCAGAACCCTTGCCCATTTCGGGTAATAATACCACCAGTCAACCCATTAGACGATTATTCCTATACTCCCCCCTACACCTCACCAACTATATCACCACTACTACCCCATTACCAATACCAGTGTAGGAATAACCGATTACCTCATCCATATAAGAGGAATATTCCTATACTCCCTACTACTATCCCCCAAATATCACCACTACTTCCCCATTACCAAGACCAGTATAGGAATAACCAATTACCCTATCCATATTCCCTAAGGTGGTATTATCATCCCGAAATGGGCAAGGGTTCCTTCATAGACTTCACTAGGGCTAGGGTCAAGCTTGTAGCGGTCAGAGTTGTGATGCGTCGCAGGTGCTTTGCTCAACATGTCGTGATGATCATGGCAAACGCATTTAATCTCACACAGCTACAATTTTAAGGTCTGCTAAGGCAGGTTGACTTGACAACTTGACAGCATGGTCGCGGCACTTTTGTTTCAACTTTGTAGAACATATGGCGGACATGAATTCCTCCCCGCCTTCAAAATCAGCCCGACTGGAAGAGCCAGACTACACCGCCGAGTTGGCAGAAGCCAAGTCAGCCAAACAAGATGCAGAGCAGAAGTTGGAAACGGCATATGTCGCTGGACGGACTGACAAATACACGGAGCTTCTCGAGAACAAAAGGGCTGAGGCACAAAAGACCATCGAGTGGGCTCAGCAGATGATCGCGCAGTCGAAGTCACGCTCATCACAGGCGCCAGTTCGGAAACTTGTGTTAAGCCCTAAGTGTTTTAGGTTCAACTCCCCGCTTATCCCCACTACTTAGTCCCCTTAAGTAGTTCACGCTAGGAGGTTTGGTCCTTGCTAGGATTTAATGCTTGGATAGTTTGGTGGTTCGGGTGCTTAGGGATTTGGGGTGCATTCGTGAAAACTTGTTGCAGTCTTGCTTCATGCGTGCAAGTGACCTGCAAAGTCAGGACGCTGTGCTACTACAGAAGTTGGAGAACCTGCGACTGGAAGTGGGCGAGGTCAAGCGCGAGGTCAAGCAGGACTTGGGCGAGGTCAAGCACGAGGTCAAGCAGGACTTGGGCGAGGTCAAGCAGGACTTGGGCGAGGTGAAGCAGGAAGTGGGCGAGGTGAAGCGGATCCAGGAGGTTCAGGGAGATGTTTTGCCCAGGATGGCAAAGCAACTATACGGCTTCCGTGCTGCTACCCACTCCACCTTCGATCCCGAGTTTGAAAGCAAGTGCCAAACATATTATAAGACGACTTCATGCATGATTTTGGGTCAACTTTTTCCAACGTGTCTTCAAGACTGGGGTAAGGATTATTACTTTGGTCCCCATTATTTCCTGCCCGTGGGTGAGCACATCTACAAGAAGAGCATGGAGAAGGAAGGAAAAGACTTGGGCATCGAGACCACACATCCTCGGAATGGACTGCTTCTGGTAAAGGCTTTGGAGTCACAGTTCCAGGATGGTCACATGGTGCTGATTCCAGTGGAGGCAGCAGGCGAGCAGTTGTGCAGTGACGCCGGCACTCATTCTGATGCACCAGAACCCGAGACGCAAGTCACACTACAAATCCACGTTGCCACATCTCTGCATGATGAACCTGTCATGTGGTCGGACAAGAAGCAGAAATTGATCGAGCCGGTTCCTTTTGAAAGACCCATCGTTCAGGAGCCGAAGGGGAAGGGCAAGAAAACAAACAAGAGCAAGAGCAAGAAGAAAGTCTTGCAGACGCAGCCCATTAGGTTTGGTGACTTGCATCGGCGAAACATCGTCATTCGCAAACCTTTCATGGCAAGCCTTTACATGCAGGTAGAGTTTGCCCAGGAGCGCCATCATGAATTCCCTGATCCAAAAGATGCCAAGGTTCGTGCCAAGTTCTTTGACATATGCCAAGATGGCATGAATATCCTCATGCAGCGCTTGTGTCGTGAAGTGGAGCCGAAGCGAGTTCTTCCAGAGGAGGCTGCCTTCGCAGGCGACACGTAGACATGTTCAGACTGGGCGCTGTGATTCTCAATTGGTCCACGTGTGTCCGCATGTGTTAGAGTTTCACCTGCTGCCAAAGCATTCGGCATGCTCGCGGATGGTAAAACACTGTCGCTAGATGAAGGTCGTGGGCAGTTTTGTATGCTCGAACCCTGCCCCCCTAGGAAAGCCATATACACAACACAATCACAGCGAAGCACAAATGGACGCACAAACAATTTTGACACACATGGTGTAGGGAGTTTTGGGGCGTTTATTTGTATTAAATATTAAAACATTGATACATATTAAAATCTCATACAAAACACTGAGCAAAAACACACACAAAAACAAGAAACCAACAAAACAAATAGAAAACAAAATAAAAAAATAAGTTACTAAAAAAGCGTTTCACGATCATAATATTATTAACATCATTAATAATATTATGTTCATCACAGTTTTTGATCTGCTATATAGTCCCATATTGTATGAAAGTTAAAATATTTTCTCCGTAAGTGTATTTGATTTTCTATGTATGCCATAAGTATGGCTTTCAAAACATTTTTAACATAATCTTCGTAGCATGTTCTGTATGTGACTTTTTCCATCATTCTCTCTGTATACTGGAAACTAAAATAGCCCATTGTATTCAGAATAAAGTTTCTCTTATAACTATCAAACATATGAAACAAATCTGTATCATTTATAAACTTCTTCATTAGTAATTTGGTTGCGTGATTATACAAATACGAACTTTCTATCATTTTCTTTAAACACTCTTTCTTTTTCTTGTTGTTCTCTAACTTTTGGTATGACTTATCAAACAAGTTAAATATACAATGTATTTGTTTTTCAGCCTTACATAATTTGTTATATTTATCTTGATTATAAATCTTCTCATACTCTAGTATTTCTGAACAACAATGACAGGAAAGATAAGAGGTAATATTATCAGTAATATTTTCATCAAATATACACATCAGCGCCTCTCGCTTTCTGTTTCTGTGTTCTTTGCATACTCCACATTCAAAATCAAAACGAAATGTTTTCATCATTATATTCTAACATATATAGATAATATTTCTTTAAATACTTTTCTTAAGAAATTAATTCTAAAGAATATTAAACTTTTAATAATTCAAATCTCAAATAAGGTCTGTCCATACCTTCCACATAATAATGACTTTGACCTAATTTCTTTTCTATTCTCTCAACAGTATAAACGTTTTTACTGAAATTTCCAACCCTTTCCTTCTCATTCGGTTTTCGCTTCCTAAATATCTTGACTTCGTCACCCTTGTCAAGATCCGGATATATCCTATTCCGTTTACCACTACTAGCAATATTCAACCTGACGCTTAATTCGTTACTCGGTTTCCGTGCCTCTTTCGGCGTGAATTTTGTAGCGGAATGTATCATTTGAGTGTTATATGTAATCAGTATCTCAAAAATATAATCAGTCCATTGAATATTACTTTTCCCTTTTTTCTCGTCAGCCTCAACTCGTTTATATAACATGTCCTTGAAAGTTCTGATCGCCCTCTCGCTGAAATTTGCGTGAGCTCTTGTCCTGTGGTGCTCTATTTTTTGCTCCTTTAAATATGTTTGAATAGCTTCTTTAGATAGAGCACCTTCATCATCAGTATATAAAATTTTCGGGTTTCTTCCCATCTTATGTAAACACTCAATCAGTCCCGAAGCCAGATCTTCCTCCGTTTTGCCCTTTAACGGCACTACGTGCATAAACTTGTCAAAGACATCTATCATGATCATACCAACCTTAAACTTTTGATCTTCCAGATCATTTATAAAAAACAAGTCCATTTGATACTCGTATGCCGAATGTGGTGCTATAAAACTGTTCTGTCCCACAGGTTTTCTTTTTGCTTCCACGTTCTTCTTGAAAAACTCATTGACATCGTCAATAGTTATGCTTTTATCTTTCTCCCGTGCTTCCTTTAAGGTCCTCTGTCTGCTCCCATATCCCGCGCGATCGTAATACACATCATTAATTATTTCTTGTTTACTCATATAAGTACAATACAAAATATTGATTTAATCTTATTTCTAAAATTAAATCAGCATTCTTCTGCTTTCATGGGCATCACAACTTTAACATTATTCATGTCATACTTCGGTCCTTTCTTATTCTGACTGCTGTTGAATTCTGCCAGTTGCTCTTCGGTTAAATCTTCTATTGTGGTATTGATATTGTTGTCTTTTAGATATTGCTTTAACTTCTTCTTTTGAATGCACTTCAAGGCAGAATCGCGTTTTTTCTGCATATATCCTTCCTCTTGTCTTCGCTTGTAGTAATACAGTCGGTTGTAAATTGCCAACTGTTCTCTTATCTCTTCCATGGTCATATCCTCTGGGGTTTTCATAGACATATTACTATACTATATATTATAATATTTCTTTAAGTGAATTTTCTGAACAGAATTTCCCAAAAAATATTTAGTTTTCAAAACTTATCTTCAGAAAACATTTAAATATAAAATTATTTTATAGTCTAATTATATTGACATGAGTAAGACCATCCAACGCGGTGTAAAAGCATTGGAGACAGTGTATGATTTTTATAAAGGCAGACTTAACAGAGCAACCAAAACTAAAATCAAAAATATCATCGGCTTATACGATGACAGAAAAATAGCGCAGTTCACAACAGCAGACAAACTAGTAAGGAACTTCATCAATGCCAAGACAGACCAACAAAAGCAAAAGGCAAGTGACCAATACAACAAGGTATACGAAAAACACAAGGAAAAGAAACCACTAGGTGAAAGAATGCGAACAGCAAAGCGTGACAACAAACTCACAGAAATCCGCAGACGACTAACACAGAAGACCGCAGTTCAGCGAATACAGAAGAGGGTGAG